TTCGCCTCCGTCTCATAACCATGCACCAACTGCATTGACCAGGTCCGTGTTATAACACTCTCACTTGATATTCTCTCTCACCCTCTCTTTCTCTCTCTCTCTGTCGCTTCTATATCCCTCTCATCTCCCCCCTCTCTTTTGTATCCCTCTCTATCCCTTCTCTCCTTTCTCTCTCTCTCTCTCTTCTCTCTCGCTATCTTTATTTCTCCCATTTTCTTTCCCTCACTCTTTATTTCTCAGTACCCCATACCATTCTACCCTTTCTCTATTTATTTCTCTTTTGATGTATATTGTATATAATCTGTCTCTCTCTCTCTCTCTCTCCCTCTCATCGCATCACCTCGTTTATCCCTTTCTACATATTTCTATATCCATATCACTTGTTAGTCTCTCCCTCTGTCGGTCTGTGACCGTCTGTCTGATGACTGTCTCTCTTTCTTTATCCACACACCTCTCTCTCTCTTTCTTTCGCTCCAACTTTGTCTCTCTCTCTCTCTAGAAGTTCTCATTCGAGTGATATAGGACCATATTTTTTTTTTAGGGTTATGTAGATGAGGATGATATAAATATGACAAATATAATAGTAATCACAATAACGAGAGAACTTCTCATTCACGTAATAGGACAGTAGTTTTTGGTTGGAGTTTATGACAAGAATAATAATAATCATAAGACGATAGAAGTTCTCATTCGCGTGATAGGACTTATGTCGGGGTTATGTAAATGAGGGTAATATAATTATGACAAAGATAATAATTATAACAAAAGCAAGAGAAGTTCTCATTCACGTGATAGGACAGTAGTTTTTGGTTGGAGTTTATGACAAGAATAATAATACGTCACAAAGACGATAGAAGTTGTCATTCGCGTGATAGGACCATATTTCTTTTGTCGGGGTTATGTAAATAAGGGTAATATAATTATGACAAAGATAATAATTATCACAAAAGCAAGAGAAGTTCTCATTCATGTGATAGGACAGTAGTTTTTGGTTGGAGTTTATGACAAGAATAATAATAACCACAAAAGACGATAGAAGTTCTCATTCGCGTAGTAGGACAATATTTCTTTTGTCGGGTTTTATGTAAATGAGGGTGATATAAATATATGACAACAATAATAATAATCACAAAAACGATAAAAGTCCTCATTCGCGTGATAGGACCATATTTCTTTTGTTATTATTTATTTTCTTATGTAAATGAGGGTGATATAAATACATGACAAAGATACTAATTATCACAAATGCGAGAGAAGTTCTCATTCATGTGAAAGGACAGTAGTTTTTGGTTGGATTTTATGACAAGAATAATAATAATCACAAAGACGATAAGAGCTCTCATTCGTGTGATAGGACCATATTTCTTTTGTCGGGGTTATTCAAAATAATGAGAAGATATAAATATATGACAAAGATAATAATTGTCACAAATGCGAGAGAAGTTCTCATTCACGTGATAGGACAGTAGTTTTTGGTTGGAGTTTATGACAAAGATACTAATTATCACAAATGCGAGAGAAGTTCTCATTCATGATTGTGATAGGAGAGTAGTTTTTGGTTGGAGTTCATGACAAGAATAATAATAATCACATAGACGATAGAAGTTGTCATTCGCGTGATAGGACCATATTTCTTTTGTCGGGATTATGAAAATGAGGGTGATATAAATATATGACAATAATAATAATAATCACAAAAACGATAAAAGTCCTCATTCACGTGATAGGACCATATTTCTTTTGTTATTATTTATTTTCTTATGTAAATGAGGGTGATATAAATATATGACAAAGATAATAATAATCACAAATGCGAGAGAAGTTCTCATTCATGTGATAGGACAGTATTTTTTGGTTGGAGTTTATGACAAGGATAATAATAATCACAAAAACGATAGAAGTTGTCATTTGCGTGATAGGACCATGTTTCTTTTGTCGGGGTTATTAATAATAATATAATATTTAATTTTTATATAGCGCTTAATACAAATGTCTCTAAGCGCTTTACAAATATATACTATTACCCCGGTCATTGGATTCAGTGCTTGCCCGCACACACTGTGTGCACAATCTCCACTCCCTGAGGGAGATATAAATATATGACAAAGTTAATAATTATCAAAAAAACGAGAGAAGCTCTCATTCACGTGATAGGACAGTAGTTTTGGGGTGGGTTATGACAACAATAATAATAATCACAAAGACGATATAAGTTCTCATTCGCGTGATAGGACCATATTTCTTTTGTCGGGGTTATGTAAATGAGGGTTATGACAAAGATAATAATTATTACAAAAGCGAGAGAAGTTCTCATTCACGTGGTAGGACAGTATTTTTTGGTTTGAGTTTATGACAAGGATAATAATAATCACAAAAACGATAGAAGTTCTCATTCGCGTGATAGGACCATATTTCTTTTGTCGGGGTTATTCAAATGAGGGTGATATAAATATATGACAAAGATAATAATTATCACAAAATCGAGAGAAATTCTCATTCACGTGATAGGACAGTAGTTTTTGGTTGGGTTATGACAACAATAATAATAATCACAAAGACTATAGAAGTTCTCATTCGCGTGATAGGACCATATTTTTTATCGGGGTTATTCAAATGGGGGTAATATAAATATATGACAAAGATAATAATTATCACAAAAGCAAGAGAAGTTCTCATTCACTTGATAGGATAGTAGTGTTTGGTTGGAGTTTATGACAACAATAATAATAATCATGAAGACAACTTCTATAGAAGTTCTCATTCGCGTAATAGGACCATATTTTTTGGTTGTGGTTCATTTAAATGAGTATGATAATATATGTTTGGCAGGGATAATAATAATCGTAAAAACGATAGAAGTTCTCATTCACGCGATAGGACCATTGTTGGGGTGTATGTAAATGAGGATGATATAAAGATATGACAAAGATAATACTAATCACAAAGACGATAGAAGTTTTCATTCAACGTGATAGGATCATAGTTTTTTGATGGGGTTATAATGTAGATGAGAATGAAAGAAAATAATGATCATAAAACAAGTCAAACATTCAGTGCAGAGGTCCAGGCGAAGAGAGGGAGATCGAGAGGGTGCGAGAGGAAGGGAAAGAGGGAACAAGTGAGAGTGAGAGTGGCAGAGAGAGCCTGGGTCTATATTTCGGAGAGAGAGGGTCTATGTGGTGAAAATGATTATTTTCGAAACTTCCAAGGGTATGATGAACATTACAACGAACTTCTGTAGGAAAGAGAGAGAGAGAGAGAGAGAGAGAGCGGTATATGGATAGACATATTTATTGTATTTCTTTCATGTTTATTTGAACGATTGTGTGGTCATTCATTTTCAAATTGCTTTCTTTCTGATATTCTTTTCTGAATGCATTTCACGGACATAATAATTGGAAAAAATGATAAGACTTCATGTATCCCGTAGCATATTGAAACTGTTTGTTATAAATGTATATCAAAATGACTGATCAGTCGAAGCTGAGACTAGATTGAGACGGTTGCGGAGGAGGGTTTACGGGTACGTCAAACCATAGGTTACTCACTCTGCAAGGAGACTATAACTCCATTGATTTGTGCGATACAATCCTGAACGGTACTTGCTCTCACACAAACGCACACAGATGCTGGAACCATTGAGCTCTAAAAGAGACCGTGGACCTTAGCCATGCGAATGCAGTGGCTTTCCCGCTGTGGAGCGGGGTCAGCGCCGAGCGGGGCGAAAGCCCATTTTCAATATCGATTATACCATGAACCATTTACAACAGTAGATGGCGCTAGTATACAACAACATGAGCTGGTTTAAATACAGGCAGCTTGGAACTAATAATTGATTTATTAATTACTGTTTAATTCACTACAAAAAAAAAAAGTATTTCAGCGGGGGAGATTGGTTAAAGATATTCCTATAGCATCTTGTTATAACATCAAAGAGTTTAAGATGAATTAAATATTTTTACCAAAACTTTGTAATACCTTTAAATATCTTTTGTTTCCCCTTTTCAAAGAATAGTTCCACATGTGTCTCATGGAGTGCACTGCTTGTACATGAATGAATAATGATTACATAATATAACTTTCATGAGCACCAATCAAGTATTTTGTCTCCGTGTATTTCTTAATTTGGTCTGCAATGACCTTTATCTGCTTAAAATGCTCAGACTGCAACCGTGAACTGGCTTATTGCCCATAACATTCTTTTAAGGATTTGACTGCTTTGTACATGTATTACTTTTTTGACTACTTTAATAACTGATATAAAAAGGGGAAATGGATTGTAACTAGTCAATTTGAGTTGTTATGTATTGACATAAGCACATTTCATTGCTATTGAACTTCTACTTACCGGTAACATTAAAAAAAAAGTGTGTGTCCACATTCAGCAGAACCCGTACACCCTTCTGCCAGAAAATATAATAATTTCGTTTAAAATTATCAACAGAAATTTGTATCTTTTTAATTTACATGGATTGGATCAGTAAGCAAAAATAGTAAACAGATAGATAATTGTAGTTTTTCGGGTTGTCCGTCCGTGCGTGTGTATGTCCTGTTCTCATGATCACGTTATCTCAAGAACTGATCAATGAATTCCCGCCAAACTTAGGTCACGTATGTATCTTGCTGAGCCAATGAACTGATTAGATTTTGGGGTCATGAGGTCAAAGGTCACAGGATCATACATGTACATGTATATGAAAAATAGCTTGTCATCACGATATTCTGAGAACCTGTTAATGGATTACAATCAAACTTTTTTTTTTTAATTGCTTCTGTTTCAGTTTGTAAAATTGCTCTATGGCGGTGTCATCATTTTTTACTGTGCCCAGTCGAAGATCCATCTAATTTCTATAAGTGGTTTGAAGGAGTTGTGTTCTTTAACTTCTTTTCAGAGTTTTTTTTAGTTTCAGAACGATTGTACAGAATCTTTCAACCAGTTTCTCTCGGATGTAATTCCATTACCAGGAGTAAATGTGAGTTTTAACTTGATTGTTTTTCAGCATGTTTGGGGTGGTGCTTCAGCAGCATGGACCGATAGAGGTGACTGATAGCCGGCTCTTGAGCATCTTCATGGGACTGTCACCATGGATGCGCCAGGGTATCAAGTACCTTGGAGGCCTGAAGGAGTTCTTCAGACACGGAGACATCTTTAAGGTTGATGGAGATGTCGTCTCGTTGGCCTGGCAAGAAGAGGAGGTATGGATGAAATATTATTTCACACCCAGCCCCCTCCCTCTTCCTCAGAGTGGCCCTCGCTCTTATTTTTTAATTTTTATCTGGAATGATTGCCGAAAATGCTTTGCCCATAATCAGTTCCTCTATAATTGGGAGAAAAGCCACTGTCTAAAGGAAGAGGAACTTTGATGAAGCAGGTGGGAGATCACAGGAAAAAAAATCCTAGGGGGGGGGGGGGGGGGGAGACAGGCAGAATCACCTCTTTGCTCATGTATATTTTCTTGAAAGGAAATTTATGTTCTGATAGTCTACATGTGGATTGTGCAGATGCTTAATAGCACATTGTTGTAAATTCCTTTAACATTTCACCTGTTTCCATTATATATCTGTCACCCAATTTAGTTTTGTTTAAGAAGCATTCATTTCTCTCTACAGGCAGAAGATAAACCAAACCAAAGCAAGACATCCCGCACTTCACCCATGGCAAGCAAGCCCACGTCCTCCTCACCCTTCAATCCAAAGTCCTCATCCTTCACACCAAAGTCACCATCACCCTTTAAACCAAAGTCACCATCACCCATTGGCACCCAGACAGTGGATACTGATGATAAAAGCAAGTCTAAGGATGCTCCTAAAGATCGCAATGTTCAGTCATCTACTGAAAGTGGTAAGTTTGATTAAAGTTAAAAATGTAACACTTAATCTGGTGTTTTGGATATTAATCTTTGCACAATGTACAGTCTTCTGTCATCAGGGTTTGTGTAAAACTTCAATATTTGCACTTTTTCAGTATTTTCATTGTGCACTTTGATTTATATGGTTTCATGGGAAATGTGTGATCTCTAAAAAGTGGTGAATTTTTTGGCAGGGATGGTTTTGAATTGTTTCAAATTTAATTTACTTACTTTATTTCCAGCTTATTCCACAATATTTGACATTCAAACAAAGATTCTACTGTTCATTAGTGGTTCATCAAAGGTTATCTTCTTTTTCTTTTTATGCCTCCGTTACGAAGTAGCCGGAGGCATTATGTTTTCGGGTTGTCCGTCCATCCCCAAGTCTTGAAATAAGCGGGCGCAGGGCGCAAATTTGCGCTCATAGAACCACCAATTGCGCCCGTAAGTCATCTGAAACTAAACTGAAAGGCGCAAGTGTTTGCCGTGAAAATGAGCCCATAAAATATTAAGACAGAAAAAATACACAAATACACAAAACAATTGCTGCGCACAAGCTCTCTTCTAGCTTCGTATTCAGTATGTGCATGTCTTGGTCGGCGAGCGCATGCGCGCTGACTCTTCACGTAAAATCTTATACACAAATTTGGTTGTAATTGTAAATAACACGACCCATACCTTACCATATTGCATGTACGGTAAAACACATGCATTTTCGCGGCTACGAGAAACAGAGAGTAGGGACCGAGTCTTTGGCAGTCGATTTGGTCTGATGTTCGATTTTGTTTTGATGGATCATTAGCTGAACCTAGGTGATTCGCTTAAAGGTAATACAAAGTTTGGAGAAATTTTGAAATTGGGTGGATAGTGATTCTTTACAGTTTTGATATATTTGGATGCCCCTGTGGATGTATTATAAGCACTAGAAAATTTAACCCCTAAAACGCTTCTGCTTTCAAGAAAAATTGAATATAAAAATTTACCGGTGCTCCCGGTAAATTTTGATAAATTTCAAATAGGTCTACGGACGTACAAAGGTAGCTGCGACCATGAAAATCTCAGAATATGTAGTTGTGATATATAATTTCCAAATAGGAATAGCTAATCGGTCGATAAATAGCTTGTAATCACGATATTCTGAGAACCTGTCAATGGATTACAATCAAACTTGAATTTGAAAATTGCTTCTGTTTTGGTTTTGTAAAATTGCTCAATGGCGGAGGCATCATTTTTGACTGCGCGCAATCGAATAACCATCCAATTTTTAATGCATGGAAACAAATTCAGTCCAGAAAATAACTAGTTATTCTTATTTAAAGCGGGTTTTCTCTTTAAAGCCAGAAGGGCGTTCTCTTGTATTATTTTAGACAGAGTTGATGCCCTTCTGACTCTCAACAGATGAAATTCCTTCCAATGTTGTCTGCATGTGCCACCCACACTGGTCACAGAAGGGGTTGAATAGTACATTTGAATAATTTGTTAACTGGTCTGTGTTTTCTGTAGATTCTGAAGAGGATGATGCATGTTGGGAGGGAGAGGAGCAGGGCTGGTGGCTATTAGACCCCCTCCCAGGGGAGGAAGAGAATTGGAAGGAGATATCACCCCTCCAGGGAAGGATGGGAGGTGGATACTATGATGATTTCAGAAAGTTAGAAGAGAAAGGTACACAAATTTATTGCCTATAAATGCTAACTTGCACGTTGAAGGTGAAAACTAACTATTTCAATGAAATTTGACTCAACATATTTTTGTACATTTTGTATTCTGTGAATATAGTGTGATATAACAAACTAACTTGATTAATTTGCTGTAACCCTTACTCGTTAATATGAAGGTTATTGTAACCATATGTCTATTTTAATAAGGTGGTTTAGCGCAATGCAGTTGCACCAAAAAACGTGTCCGGAACGCAAAATATATAGTTGTAGAGAGACACAAGTTTATCACACAGATGTAAAACAACATTGTTAGGATATAGAGCTGGTCAATGCATATCTTGATGAGGCTTAAATGTTAGCTAACCTTTCATTCAGATATGTCAAACAAAGAACTTTTAATTGATAAACATCACCAACTATTATGTATTTTGCGTTCTGGACACATCACTTAAGCTATGGTCACAAATTAGAGCAGCGACCGACCGATCAGTAGCCTGCTCGGTCGCTGCTGGAATTAGGCATCGCCTAGCAATTAGTTCGGTGCCCGGGCGGCGACCGCCCAAGCACCGAGCGTATTTTGGGCGGCGAGTGAAAAGTGGGCAGGCACCGCCCAAATTTTAACTCCGCGCTAAAACTTCAGCGGCGACCGAGCGATGCCCTAACAACGAGCGGTGACTGGCCGGTCGCCGCTCGGTGGCCGGGCAGCCGCCGGGCAGAATTGGTTAAAAACTCGCCGCTCGGCCGCCGAGCAGGCTACTTTTGGGTAATGTGACCATAGCATAAGTGCCATTACATTTGGCTAGGCTACCTAATGGATGTCTGTACTTAGGTAACTCTTATTAACAGATGTGTTATTTATGGTGGAAACCTATTAAAGTGTGAATCACTATGAGGTGAAATTTATTTGTTGGGTTCACTAATACATGTATATAACAAATGCACCTTTTATGTGCTTTACTTGTGGTTGCATTTGTCAAGTTTCAGGAAATGGAAAGTAGTTGGAGGCTACCAGCTTGAATCATTATTTTGATTGCTTGATTTATATTAAGAGTTCAATAAAGTAAGTAACTGTGTTAAACCTTTCCAAAGAAATAGTATTATTTTCAAGAAAATTATTAATACTTACTCTTGTTTTGTATACATAATTGGTGTGATTGCATTTTCTCATTTTAAAAAGCTTTAATAAGAATGTTTTTCCTCATCAAGTGTTTTAATGTGAAGCGCTAGTATATTCCTTATACAAATTCTTTTGTTCTCTTTTGAAATACAGATAACAAAGATCCTGAGGAAATTCAAAAGAAACTACTGTCTATAAGCCCTTCCGCCATTGGCAGTACAACAGAAGAGGAAAAGAATAAATCACCTGTAAATAACAATAAGGAAATTCAGAAGAAGTTGGTATTTACAAGCACTCCCTCTCTTGGTAGCACAACAGAGGATGAACAGAAGACTTCACTTCTGAGGAACGATAGCCCCACCCCATGGAACTGGGAGGAGTCTGCCATTGCTCAGGAAGCTGAGGCCCAATTGAGACGAGAGTCGGAGCTAACCCAAGATGGGCAACAATCAAGTCAGTCCCCACAGACCCTTGTTGGAGAGAGTGGAAAAAATGATGCAAGATCATGGCCATCGGATGCAGAGGGATCGACAGGAGGGAGATCTTTGGGAGAGAAGAGTGATGGTAGTGTCCAGGAAGAGGAGGGTGACAGGAGGAGCCCAGAGATGATCTATCGATCTGGGTCCCTTCATCAGGCAGAAGGTGATGTTATCGTCTTGGAGGACATTGAGGTTAGTGGTACAGAAGAGGAGGAAGGTGAGGTTATTGGAGGAACCGATAGTGCCGAGGAGAAAAGTGATGTCTTTACAGATGCCCTGGAGGATGGCCAAGAGGATGCAGATACAGTGGGTGAAGGAATGAGAGTGAAGGATGATGATCAGGGATCGTCACCCTTCACCTCCATCAATGGTATAGCCCTTAGAGAGGTAGAGGAGCAAAGACCAGAAAGCTGTATGGAAGAGGATATGATGTCAGATATGATTTCTAAACTTATCAATGTTGCCGTCTCCGAAGTCACCAAATCACAACCCAGGAGTACCACCGACCAAGAGACAGACCAAAACAAACCCAGTTCTAGCCAGGATTCTCAAAGAGCTGATGAGGAGAGTGTTTCAGTCAGCAGCACCGAAATTGGATTGTCAAAGTCAGTTCGGAGTATCGGAGTGGAAACACCAAAGCCTCAGCAGTCACATAAGGCCATGTGTACCAAAGAAATCAAAACTACAAGCCGAAAGGTCAATACCCCTTCAGTGTCTACTTCCAATAGGCGTGTGGGTACAGGAGAGGATCCACGTATAGAGCAACTTACAAGTGATTTGGAAAAAGAGGTAGGCTGATGACATATATACCTGTAGAGTGTTTCACAAAGACTAAGATCGACTCTCAGTTGGACTAAAGTATGACAGGCCATTCATGCCATTGTTTTCTCTCACCATATCCTGGCATTGGTCTCTCAAGGGACGTTCAAATCATGGTCGCAAATCTACACTAGAATTTCCATTTTTTGATAGTTCATTATTGAAGGAAAGAATATTATCTAAAGATCATAATGATCATAATAGAAAACAGTGGCATGAACGGCCTGCCATAGTTTAAGTCCAACTGAAAGGCGATCTTAGTCGTTGTGAAACACTCCTCTGATTCCATATAAATTTCAGATTTTCTGTTCATCATATTTGAAGGTGGTGGAAGGGGTTCATTTATGATCTTGGTTTAATTTAGAAATGATACAGGCTACAGCCCATATTGCACACTTCAAAGTTACTAGGATCTCTAACGTCTTTCACCAAAAACAAAACCAAAAAACAGATGGAAAAAAGGGGGGAAAGGTGCAAGACCAAACAAAATCATTATTTTCTTTCAAATTTTTTCTACAAACTGATACCAAATTCATTGATATTCTTATAAAATTTAAATGAAATAACTAAGTTTAAAGTTGTATTTACCTAAATAGCAAATCTTCGCCGATTTTGAAGCTAGTACTGTATAGCAGGCAGTTTGTTATCCGATATATACCCCTACCTACCACAATGCAATGCAATGCAAAATTGCCTGTAATGGATACTAAGATCAGCAGTTGTGTTGTGAGGTAGCTCTGTTGTGGTCCCTACTTTGCAATGACTCAAACACAAACTTAGATCTAATTCTACCTGTAGATTTTGTTAGAAAATTAAGTTATGAAGTTTATTCACGAGATTGACAAAACTTGTTATATTTTCTCTTCCAAAAATACTGCGGCCTTTACGCCGGCAAATACGGTACTTGGTCTACATGTAATGTCTACAAGTAAACAGACAACTTTGTCGTGAATAACATGAACAGCATGATCATACGCATAGGAAAAGAGTAAAATTTGTGATTGTGATAGTAGTTTCACATCTGTAGTAGATTTCAACAAGAAACACACCCCCAAATATAGAGGTCTTTTCCCCTTTTCATTGAAGAGCCATTAATTTTTATAAGCTGGAGAAATAGGCATTGCACCAAATGGTAATATACCATTAGAACTTATTTATTACTTAGCTCTATTGAACCAATTACCAAATTAATAAAATGATACATTTCAGGGGCCTATGTCTTTTGTATTTGTACTTGTGGGTTGCGGCATATTAAGTGTTGCAAGATGGATGCGCCCCCATGCTTGTGAAGGACGTTGCAACCAGCAAGTTGGACATTATTCAAAGTTCCATTAGAGATGCTAGTTATGCATTTTGCTCTTTGTAAGAAATATTAACCCTATTTTAATTATTTTAATTCCCCCCCCCCCCCCCCTGTAGTAATTTTGTGAATACTCCGGAACTGCGGCAAATACCAGTATAAAGTTTTCCTTTCATGACTTTTTTCTTTTGAGTCTTACGCATCTTTCAAAAACAATATTTTTTAAATATCGGACGTATAGTTCCAAAGTCATGTGACCTTTTGTCTTTGCATGTTAGCCCGAAAATCGCTCATTTTTGTGATTTGTGTTCAAAACATATGGAAATATCAATTTTCCTAAAAAGAGATAAAACATTGGTTATTTGGTCTTGTTTAAAGTTTAGGGTTTCGTTTTGGGGTCGAAATAGTTGAATTGTAGTTAGAAATGAAATAAAACAACAAAAACATATACATATAGTGAAATATATATTTAGTGAAAAAGAATGCTTAAATATGAATTATATATCATTTATGGGTAAAAATGTGGATTATATGACCTTATTTGCATACATTACCATAAATATGCAAATGAAAGTTTTTCAAAAAATTGAAATTACCGTAGTATTCTATACACTTCACTTGACATGCATGCAAATTTTTGCGGCGATTTGGTGTGAAACGGCTGAGATCTTAGGGGTGGGGGGGGGGGGTCTAATTGACCCCCTCTGGTAAAAAACCTGGTCTGAAATAGCCTGGTTAGAATAGGGTTAAGCCATTGAATTGTTTCTCCTCTCTCTCCCATTGAAGAAACGCAGACGAAGACATCTTGCTGATGATGCTGAAGGCCTGTATGACAAGCTTGATATGAGGAAAAAGGAGTATGCTTCCGAGACAGAGGAACTGAAACGCAAACTGGATCGAACGGCTAAAGAACTAGCGGTAATAATTCATCTACATAATGGAGCTAATTTTTTTAATTGTTGTGTATAAAGCCTTCTTATACACAGCTTGTATGTATGATATCAACTTAAAAAGAACAAAAGAATTTTTTATCTGGCATTGTGTACGCTACTGTTTAAGGATTATGAAGAAAATATAAGATAATGTTTAGAACCCCCCCCCCCCAAAAAAAAAAAAAAAAAAATTAAAATAAATAAATAAATAAATAAAATGCACAGAACCCAATTTTGACTTGAGCATTGCTTGCTCAGAATTTTTATATTTCTTGTTTCAAAACATGTTATTTGAAGTGTGTTTAGATCATTCTAAATATAAATGTGCCCCAGCTGTTGAAGTTGAAAATTACTGCTTTTAATTTCTTAATTTGATCTTGTCCCTTATCTGGTTAAGGATTGTCAACGCAAACTTTCAGGCAAGGGTATTGTACAGCTTGGGGAATTACGGAAGACCAACATGGAACTGAAGGACTCTGAGAGCAGACTGAATGCAGCAAAATCAAAGATTGCTAGAGCTGAGAAGGAAAATTCCAAGTATGAGAGATATGTCGTTTGTAGCTGACTTAGTACTTTTTTAAATCTAACAATTATGATCACAAAAAGTCTGATGATTAAAATGTGTGTCGTTGGACCAGTGCTTAATAGGGCACTATCGACTGCCACATTCACATTTCTTAATTCCGATGCTTGAAGAGGATCAATCACCATTTCTTGCTTTATTTGTTTTTTATTTATTTTATCTTTTTCTCTCTATGTGTGGGCTATTCAAAATGTTGGTGTCAAATATTACTTCTGCAAACATATTGCAAGTAGGAACAGAAAAAAATGCAACTTTTTAAAACTTTTTTTCTTCGAATCATTCCTTTTATGCCCATTAGGTAGTAACCTCTTTTGAGGGGGTGGGGGGGGGGTTGACTTGTCTCTATGATATCAACTCTGAATTACAAAAGAATAAGGGAAAAAAAGGACAATACAAATTAGTGTTCATTGTCATTTTTGCTAGTGATATTTCAAAAGAGGAATGAAACTGTTCCATTGTTTATCTACAGTCTCACCAATGAACTGGAGAAGACCACACGTCAGCTTTTGGATCTTGAGAAATCTCAAGCCCAGAAAGTGGCGAGCGGCAGGACCCGTAGTACCTCTACAGGTGGCCTTGAACCCGAGAAGGATCCAGCCATCGAGGAAGAGAACAAACTTTTGAAGATGAGATCAAGATCAGCAGAACAAAAGGTGGGTACATTTTTATTCACTTTTAGGATTGGGGGAGTTTCTGCTGTGGTCATATTTCAAAATCAACTGGAATCGATGGTGTTATTTTCTTCATATTCAATTAATAAAGATGATAAGGATTTCTGTTTCATTTTTTGTTTAATGTGAGAGGGAAAGTCCAAGTAAATTGGTAAAGTTTTGGTATATGTTACCAAGTGTAAAAGAAATAACATGAAGACAATTATCATCTGAAGTATCATATCTTTATATTGCATTTAATCCAAAATGTAGTAGGATCACTAGCTGTTTATGCTTATCAGGTATATTAAAATCTTTGATATCATCAGTAATGTATGAGCAAAAATACCTTGTACTTGCCTCCAAATCAATAGAATTAATATATATATTTTGTTGTGTATTTTGATAATGATCAAATCACTCCAATGAGATCTAGAAAATATCATGAAAAATAGATGGTGATGATTGTGATGATGATAATGATGACTTCTTGTATAGCACCATTACTCACATCTGTTTGGTGCTCAGCATTTATTTAAAAATATATTTTAAAGATATTCTTAGTCAGTGTGTCAGTTAAAAAAGGTTTATTTTCCATTGTTCTCTTTGTATGATTCTTGAGAATTGAGATGGTAGCAATGCTAATTTCTTTGGCTAACTTTCTGCCATTCAATAATGATAGTTTTTATTAGTCTTCCCAGTAGTAACAATTGCTTCCGATGCTATTCTATTCCTTGTTCTCATGTTGTGTAGGTGTTGGAGCTTCAGTATCAGTATGCCATGCAGAGTTTGAACAAAGCTCTACAGGAAAGTCAGTACATCTTTAGAATGTATGGTAACTCCCTCTTGAGCAGGTATGTAGAGCAAGTAATATTGTGTAATTTTTATTGTTCATCAGATCATGTTTCTGAAAGACGTTTTTTCTTGAGAACATTCTCCTCACAGTGACACATAAACATGAAATGGTGCACAAGGGGTAGATTGTAATTCCTTTTTTTTGATGTGGTGTGTACATATATAAGTTTTCCTGCATGGGAGTGTTTGTTGCATCTTTTAGTCTAGATTGACTAATTTCTATCCTAAAGACAAATGGTACACTAAGTTTAAAGGCATCGTTTAACAATTTTAAATCTGAGATGCACAGCCCTACGTGTTATCAGTGTGTGTGATATGGTGTAATATTGATCAAGAAGTGCCTCAAAAAAGTAAAAACTCTTTGAGTGACCGGATTTACAATACTCGTTTTCCCCAATAGACTGTAGTGTTATGAAAACCGTTTGGAGAACGCAAAATTGGGTTTCAATTTCCAATGATAAATATCTTGATAATCAGACAGGCGATTGTCTTGTAAAAGTCATGGGGTTCCTGAATGACCTAAAGGTTTATAATTATCATTGCAGCATGAACTAAATCCAGGATTTTGTTTCAGAATCTGAGACAAAGTTACCGGATTCCTTTAATTGCAGGATTAGTAATATCGAATACTTGAGAGACTGAAAAAGTATTACTTCAAATCCATTTAATGTCAGAAATAATGCCATTTTTTCTTTTGGTTGATTAATAATGCATTTTTATAACAATGGATAACAGACCCTGCAAAATTTTTAAAAACTTGTTATTTATAGCTCTCATCGTGAACTCCTGCGCATGAAGTGGTCGGATTACCAGATGTACATCAAGGAGAAAACAGATGAAGTCGCCACGTCTTACTATAGCTCCCTCAAACATCTGCATCAAGATGTTCCTCTGGCGGACATCCCTTCGCTAAAAACCCAACATATTGAGACATTCAATCCTTACAAGGTGAATATCAAGATGGAGATTCAACATCTGTCCTTCATTACATGTTTTCATATGCTGGCTCAAAAATGTAGACTAATGTTCTGATAGCTGTTTCTTTTTGTACTGGTGTAAGGAGATGATGCACTATTGAAAGCTGTTTTAGGTCATCTGTTGGCCATTTGCACTACCTAAACATAATTATCTTGATTAGTACAATAAGTTTGTTATGTGTATAAGTGTGATATTGCCTGTAGAGTGATAGCTAGAGTATGTAAAAATGTCATTCTTTTTTCTTTCTTTTTTTCTGGGCTACTAGCATGCTGCTTGAATCTTGCTTTTCACTAATGCCTTGTCATTCCCCTTTCTATGTTTGCATTGTGTTTATTTTGTTATTGTAATGAAGATGTGATATTTTTTGTATAACTGAATAGCTGCATTAGATACCTTTGCTGCATAAGCTTTATGTGTCTGCTCCTACTGAATAAGTAATCAAAGCATTGATGTCATAAAAAATGCATTATTGCTTTGTTGTGTTTCCTTCCATTTGGTATTTCCATCATTTAAGCCCTTATGATTTATCTATGCTGCATTATTGTTATTTCATTCTGGTTAGAGGAATAGTCCACCTCAAAATATATAGAATGTTTAATGGACAATAATCTACATTATCTACATTGGCCATGCAAACTTACTTTTCTGAAACATATCACAAGAAATAGAGTGGGAGGGTTGAGGGGATGAGTAATGTCGGGCGATTCCCAGCTCATCCCATTTTTATTTTGACATTAATGATCCTTTCAAACTTGAATACATCTTTCACACGAAATGTTTATGGCAAAAACCAAATGTCTTCAATATGATATCCCTTTTGTTATCTCTTATCTTACTACCAAAGTAAAAGTTCAAGATTCAATATCTGTGCAATGTCTCATAGCTTATTTAAATGTGTGATCTAATGTGTGCAGTGCTCTTGCAGTGGCCTAATGATACATGTGTGCTTGCTTGCTTGTGCACTCCCTCCCTCCCCCACTCAGCAATCACCCGTAAAGGCTGGTGAGTTTGGATACATCAGTCCTGCTGTTACTGGATTAGCTGCCCCGCCCCAGACCCTCCCAGACCCCTCCATGCCTCCTGTCGTTCCCCTCGGAGTGATGAGTGCTGGAGACGGGCACCCCTCCTTCCCTCTTAATGCCACTGCTGTGAACACAGGTTTAGCCCCCACCAGGTTGGTATTAGCTAGGGTGCAACATGTGATCCTAGCTTGTGAATCTTGCAGAATTTGCACTCTGATTAATGAGCATAAACTTTTAGTGATATTAGAATACACGAGTTAAGCATTTTCTAGTTCAATTTAAATTAATGTAGTTGGTAACCGTGCATATTTGAGCTAACATTAGTGTAGTGCTGATGACTCTTTTTTATGAAATACAAATAAATGAATGTATACAAATTGTGATTATGATGACCGTGGATTGTTTAGATTTGGTGCCATTCCTGTATGGTTGAGCCTGTCTGATAGGTTATAACCACCGGTACTCTCTTTTCATTTATGATTACCAATATGGTATATACAAACAAAATATCAAATTTAGTTCAAATCTATACCATCTGGTAATGATTGATACAACTCACTATTACCTTGGTTTACATTCAGGATGTCAAAGTTTTTCCAAAAAGATTTGACTTATACATGAACATAATTTGCAAATTGCATCCTTATGATTACTTCATGTTATTCAGACCCAACGGTGATGTATGCATTCTTCAATCTACCTCACTAAATGTTTACCGGTACCCAACAAATTGTTTTTGTATAGTGACATAAAACTGTATTTGTTTTATTTCTCTCCTGCAAAAAGTGGATCCACCAAAGCTCCACCAGGTCTTGCAGGAGCTACAGCTCAAGCTCCACCAGGACTCACGAAGGTACAGATAAGAAGAGAAAAAAAGGGATAATATAAAATGATTTTTATGATTATGATGATGAAAAAGAAGGAAGGAGGGGAGCTACTATATTAATATTCTGTACTAAGATTCATATATAGTATGACTTGAACAAATAAATGGGAAAAGACCTAAAGGGATATGGCACAGAGTACTGAGGCAATTTGTGTTTGATAAATGACAACTTCCTTATTTTTATGCCTCCGCTGCAAAGAAGCCAGAGGCATTATGTTTTTTCGGGTTGTCCGTCCGTCCATCCTGTTCTCTTGATCGCGTTATTTCAAGAACCCATTGATGGATTCCTGCCAAACTTGGGCCATGCATGTATCTTGCAGAGAAAATGAACCAATTAGATGTTGAGGTCATGGAATCGAAGGTCACAGGGCTCATTATATATGCAAAAAAAGCTTGTGATCACATAATCTCAAGAACTGATTGATGGATTACCGCCAAACTTGGCCAAACTTGGGTCATGTATGTATCTTGCAGAGCCAATGAACTGATTAGATTTTGGGAATAAAAGGTCAAAGGTCACAGAGCTCATTATGTATGCAAAAATAGCATGTGATTACACTATCATTAGAACCGATGGACAGATTACCATCAAACTCAAGACATCTATGTATCTTGCAGAGCCAATGAACTGATTAGATTTTATGGTCATAAGGTCAAAGGTCATGGGCTCATTATGTATGCACAAATAGCTTGTGAAGGTATTGTATTATCATTAGAACCGACGGATGGATTACTATTAAACTCAAGACATGTACAGTATGTATCTTGAGGCCAATGAATTGATTAGATTTTAGGGTCATGAGGTCAAAGATCAAAGGGTCAAACATGTATATGAAAAAAAATATCTTGTAATCACGATATTCTGAGAACCTTTTAATGGATTACAATTAAACTAAAAATTGCTTCTGTTTTGATTTATAAAATTTCTCCATGGCGGAGGCATTATTTTCGACTGTGCAGTCGAAGGTCCATCTAGTTTATCATATTTTGCTGAACTGTTTCTCTTATTTTCCAATATTTATGTAACCAAGTTAGTGTCAGGTTGGACTTCCTCTTTAATCAAACTGCCCCCTTTATACCAACTCCTCAGGTGGCAGTAGGGAGTGACCTCGGCATGCCCTTCATGCAAGCCCAGACCCAGAGGGGCGCCCCTGGTAAGGTCCTCAGGAGGGTACCACACAAGGCCCCTAAGGCACTCCTAGCAGCAAACTTCATGTCCTCTCTTCAACATACCACCAAGGTGTATGGTAGCACTGCTGCAGCTGCCCCTCCCACTCAACCACAGGTGGGCATGATGACTGGTGGACGTGGCGTGGGTGTTGGTGGTGGTACACAAAGTCAAGGCAACGTCCATGATTGGTTGGATAACATGGATATAGATAACGTTCAGAATCAAGGTAGGTTTGGCAGATTATCTCTCTGTCAGATTGATAGTCATAATCCAACTAGTCATAATCCAACTTCAAACTTTAAGTTAGTGCTCATCAAGTCCTAGGTAGCATCTCATGAAAAATGTTGTTACCTACAAGGTCACCGACATCCATTTAAATGTGTGTTAGTAATAATATTCATGTTTCAATTGGTTGTAAGCAAACTAGAACTTACGAACGTTTTGTGAAATGATGCCGATTCAATTCCAAATTTTAATTGGATTTAAGGATTATTACCAGGATCCATTTGCGATAATCATTTACAGTTGGTGTTGAAATAGCTTTCTTAATAAAGGTGGATAAGTAACCAACCTCATCGTTTTATAATGCTAACCCCTTCAAATAATACATTTCTTAAAGTAGTATTCTGGAAGAGATTATGACTCAAGAAATGCTTTTTTTCTCCGCGTTGATGTCTTGTACAAGAATGCACCTGGATCATTAGCATTTAGTTAATACTAACTTCCCTACCCTATTTCCTCTCAAAATGCATCTTTACTGAAAACACAAAGCGAGTGCTCCAACATCCAACATACAACACGCACAAGCAGCGCAGGATTTTAGAGAGCCCCATGTCCCTACCCCTATGGACACCACCTCCACCCAGCCCCAGCCGGAAGGTATGGATACCCAGACTACCAGTCTACCGGACCAAGTGATGATGGCCCCTCCCATGGGTGCGGGGGGCATGACCCGACCAGCTGGTATCGGGCGGGGCAGACCTCTCTCTGCTGCTGGTAAGACAAAAATAGAAACTTCTCAATGAGCTGTGTTTGGATCAGTGAAAGTAGGGATGCCATTTATCAGGCTATTGCCTTTGTTATCATATGTCATGATTCAGTTCCAATTTTGGAAGTTTTCATACTAAACAGAATAGATATGTCACCAATATGTAAATGCAGATTCTCACTTTAGGAAAAGACATTGCTGATATTCTTTTTACCAATCCTTATGGGATAACAAAGGCTGGTGTTCATATTATTAACCTAATAGATATGCAGATACATATGTATGCACTTTGCCAAACCAACCAGATACTGAACTGTACAAAACTGGCACCGTTGTTGTCATGTGTTTCATTGCAGTTACTGTCACTAAGTCAGGTCTTAGCTTGGTAAGGTTAACAAATAATGTTGTAATGTCATCTCTGGTTCTGTACATCGTTCATACATTCTCATTCTATAATGTCATCTAATATAATGTTCCTGTTCTGTCAAGCAACATTAATGGCTCTTTCGTAACCAAACTGCTATTTACAGATGAAAGTATGATAACTGGGAACTCCAATTGTGTAGTTTGCAATTTGATTTGGGCATATTTTTCAATTTTTTTCATACATTAATTAAAGATAAATGTTTCTTTTTAGGAATGAGCTCACAACCTCCTGCGTTTCCATCGATGAAGTCTCAGAGGGTGGCTGAGGCTATGGATGTTGGTATGAGACCAAAAGCTGCTGAGACTTTGGACGTTGCTCCCAGACTAGGTGAAACAACCACTAGCAGGACATCCTCCAGCTCCAACTCCCGCTCTAGCTCCCCGTTCTACTCCCAGCTAGCAGGAGCCATGGAGCGCCTTTCCCGTCCTCCTGGGTCCAAGCAGAGTTCCCCCTTCAAGTCTGGATCTCAGGTAGCTGGAGCAATAGAACGCTTGTCAGGATCAAAGCGAGGATCTCCTGCAGGAGCTGTGGCTGGAGCCGAGAGCTTGACCAAAGATTCCAACGCCTCCAGACCACGCCCCACCAGTGCTGGGGATGCTATGTTTGCATCCCAAGCGAATACTGATGCAGCCAAAGCCAGGTCTGTAAGCCTTGGGGGAGGAGGAGGTGTGACCAACCAGGAACCAGCTCAGCCGAAACCCTCAACCAGGAACTTTCAGGCTGCTCCAAACTTCAAGGAAGCTGGATCTCATGGTGATAGCATGGCCAATGTGCCTCGATCCAGGGCTCGTCAGCTGAGGATGCCTTATCATCGTGGAGCTGAAGAGGAACAGGATGCAGGAGCGTCAAAAGAAGGCGGTGGTGACAAGTGGACCACTCAGGTACCTTCATCTTTGGCTTTGTTAAAAAATATGAATAATTTGCTTTGAATTTGTTATGCTTCATTTACATCCTAATGAGTAGTTGGAGGAAGGAGAATGAATTGTAAAAGTTATTGATACTGTCACAAGGGATCATACCAAAATTGAACCTGTTACTCCTGGCAAAAGGATCTTGCTGTACTGTGCTGTGCTTCTCCTGTCTGAAGCCAATATCTTCACATCTGCCATATTTATGCTTTGTTTTAGATATAAGTTCATATTCTTTCTGGGGTCAATATACAAGTTTGTGTTAATCAGTGTATAATATCCATTTGAGAAATTGTTCAGAAGAGTTTGTTAAAGCCATTTTAAAGGAATTGTTTTGATACTTTATGTAATTTTCTAGATTAGCAAGCGCAAGCGTAAAGTCCTGAATCTTGCGGAACAGCAGACGCAACTGATCAAAGAACACCGTCACCTGACCGGGTCATGTGTCACCAAATCTAGTGAACCATCAAAGGGTCAAGGTCGACCTCAGAAGCAGGGTTCGTTGGACAAACTGGTCTCCTATCTCTCAAAGCAATTCAAACAGATGAGCAGGTCAGTCAATTTAACAATCATTGCATATATTGCATTATAGCTGTATTCTGAAAATGACATTATCTTTATATATGTAAGTGAATGTATGTGAATCACCTTTATAAATTGAAATTGAGTAATAAAGACTTATAATATTAATGATGCTCGAGCAGAATATATACAGATGTCTCTTTAAATACACATGCACAGTGAGCTTTCTGCAAACATTAAATAATTAATTATCCTAACTTATTAAGGTTTTGTTTTTTACTCCTTCAGGAAAGAGCTGACTGATTCTATTCTGCAGGTTCGTCTGGATCATAATGGAAGCCTGAGTGGTATCGCCTTGGGAACAATCATCTCTGAAGCTAGCAGCTATCTCTCTCGAGCAGAAAAAAAGAAAAATAGAAAGGTTGGTTTCTTGAACCCTCGTCTCTTGTTGGTGTTAACAAAGGATCTCAATGTTTAATCAGGAAGCTGGTTTAATAATGCATGAAATAATGAGGGGGTGACAGTTTGTTGTGTATTATGATCCTTTATTGACACACATAATGACACTGTTGCTTCAAATTTCATACTATTATTTATTTACATGTCTGTTAACATAGACATTCTGCTGCCTCTGGTTTGCTGATAGGACAAGAAATCTCCGTAAATAATGTTAATATTTTTTTAAAGTTGTAGAAGACTGCAGAGATGTGTTTGGTTCATGGGGAAATTCTTTGTAAAATGAGGATGTAAGTTTAATTCTTGCATCATCAACAAATGAATAAAAAACAGGAGCAGTGGGCGGTTTTACTCTGGAAAGTTATGAAATAGCTGCAATATTCTCAGAAAGATTTGTTGTTAAAACAAAGACAGGAAAACCTGCAGAATTGTCTAAAAGAATCTAATTTTCCATATAGCAAATTAAAAAACAGCTCTTAACAATGAAAAAGTAAGTTTTGACTGATTTACATGCATGATGTTTTCCTTGTAGGACTCTGAAATTGTAGGTATGTGTGCAGTCTGCCAGGGTGAATTATATGGTGACCCTGATGAGAGGAAACTAGACTGTGGACATAAATTTCACTCTAAGGTATGTTTATCATCAATTTTGATCATTACGACACACACTTCTTGGCAGACTCTCATTGACACATGGTCATTTTGCCAGTCCCAGTTCTATGTACCAGTATGTATTGTATTGTTTTTGAGCCCTGCTATGACACATTTTCATGTAAAACTGATAATTTCCTTGATCTCATAGAGTTTGTTATCCAATGAGGGTCTACTATATTCTGAGATTGTATTACTTCTATGTAAGAATATCATAATAGAAATTTACTCAAACGTTCATAATTTATCTTAAATTATTACCAGAACTAAAAAAATTCATTAATTGTCGGAATCCAGACCTGACAATTACCCAATTTAATTTTTTTCCTTTTTTTTCTGATTTTTACCAATTTTTTTCTCCCGATATGTCCCGATGTGTCCCGATTTTTTCTGATTTTACCCGAGATTTATGATTGTTGCTGATTTACTGGTTAAAAGTTACATGGTAAAAGGGGGGGGGGGGATGCCATTTTTCCAACCTTTTTTTTTTTAGTGCTCAAGCACTATCATACCTCTCGCTAACAGAAAAGAAAATACCACCATACATCTTTGGAAGTTATTTGGTTAACTGAAAAGAAAAAAAATCATTAAGAACATTTTTAGTAACATTAGTACATTGCCCTCATTATATTATTAAATCTGCAAAATATTCCGATGGTGGGACTTCACAAGCATCCACAATGCTGTGTGTGATTCATCATAGAAATAAACATGTAGATGAAAGAAATGAACTGACAACTAAAATATCTTTTTATGTGTAGCAGAAAATGCAACATTTTGTTTGTAGATGACCATATGTATCTTCTCTTGCAAAAATATATGAATTTGTCTTTAAATGATATACAATAGCCCTATCAAAAAGTCTGAATGGTAATCTGTCACATCATCCCTTCTTCTTGCTTTCTTGTAACAGTGTATCAAGACTTGGGTCAATGAGGAAGGAACATGTCCAATCTGCCGTAGACACACCCTCTTTCCAGAGGACTTTCCCAGACTGCAGTGAAGGACCAAAGATTTCAAATCTTTCCATGAAAATGCTACATCGATGTAGACATGTGCAGGGTAGCTGAAAAGGAAAGAGTTTTATCTAGAAACAATAAACCTTGAATTGTCACCTTGAATATGTTTTTTGTTACTTTTGTCAATCATTGCCGACCTAAAACTGCCAAAAGATTATCTTTCAGTAGAAAATTGGAGTATTAATGTTGTTTTTTGTTACTTATGTCAATTATTGCCGATCTGAAACAGTGCCAAAAGATTTTCTTTCAGTAGGAAATTAATGTTGTTTCCTTTTTGTTAAACGAGTATTGTGATGACAACATATATGATTTCCATTGTGTGCTGAAAAGACATTCCAAAAGTGTTACATTTAATAAAAGAGGTGGCAAAAAAAAAAAAGCAAGTTAGATATGTTTGAAAGCTAAATCTGTGACTGTTTGTCTCTGTTGAAAATTTTGGCTATGTGATTTACGACTTGAATAAACACAACTCATTTCTATTCACAACTCAATTCTATACACAACTCATTTCTATACACAACTCATTTCTATGCACAACTCAATTCTATACACAACTCATTTCTATTCACAACTCATTTCTATTCACAACTCAATTCTATTCACAACTCATTTCTATTCACAACTCAATTCTATACACAACTCATTTCTATACACAACTCATTTCTATGCACAACTCAATTCTATACACAACTCATTTCTATACACAACTCATTTCTATTCACAACTCAATTCTATACACAACTCATTTCTATACACAACTCAATTCTATTCACAACTCAATTCTATTCACAACTCATTTCTATACACAACTCATTTCTATTCACAACTCAATTCTATACACAACTCATTTCTATTCACAACTCATTTATATTCACAACTCATTTTTATTTGTAAGAAACTCTGCAGTTTTTATGATTTACAGATTAAATTTTGCAGTATATGTATAGTGTTTCTTTTTATACATTTTGACAAGTTTTTGAGCTCTGTACCATTCCTTTGTAAGTCTTGGTTTAACAAAGTGAAACCAAAGATATATTGACTCATTTGTACTTTATTTTCTATGTACTTTGGGAGACTGTATTCCTGCATCATGTATTCTATAATATTAAGTTTGATAGGGTAGTTTATTGTATTAGATTAGATTGTTATTGTTTTGTAGCAAAGAAATCTAGAAGTTAATCATAGTTTATTTCAACATGGAGGATCATATTACATAATGTGTATTTTTTGGACAATGCTGCTGCTGCTGCCAACTGTTAATAATTTGTTTTTTAAATATCATACTGGAATTGAGAAAAGTATAACAGATGGCGCTCTTTGTTTATTTGGAAAATACTTATTTCCCAATCAAAATATTGAGTTTTAGCCATGGAATTTGCTTGGAGGCCATGGTATAATTTAATGAATCCTTACAAGTTACTGTCATATCCCTTTGAAATGTGTATGAAAAGAAACCAGAATTTAAATGGGATCTCTGCAAACTTGTCCTTGTTGGAGGTTTATGAAGAGATGGTTGCCAAATAATTATTTCCAATACAGCTATGCTAACTTTTTTCCAGGGATCATAAGCACCATTGATTGAAAAACCTTTGAAATACTGAATCTGTTTCCTCTCTCAAACTATAGACTTTATCTCTTTTTCTTTGGATTTCGTTTTATCAATTGCAGAATTTTTGTACCCTTGCCAGAACTGCTACAATGTGGCTTTAAAGTTGCAAAAGAGTGTCCATTCCTATAAGTGTTACCTCAAAGGTAAAAATTTACCTTAAGTCTACAGGTATTTACACTGTATCTGTTACTTTGTAAGCTAAATTGATATACAGTGCGTCCCAGAAAAAACGAAACCGAGAAGTATCGATGTTCTATCATAACTTAATCACAACTATAATTAATGAATGATACATATTTTGAAAGCTTAGTCTCTCCTCTTTCATGTGATGCTACTCAGATAATGCATATTTCACGCATGAGTGATTTAAAGCAATTTGAAGGAAGGAAACCAAAAAGACATTTGGTGGGCGGTATCTAAATTTTGAAGAAAAATTCACATTTCTAGAAAGTTGAGTTTCTGCCCTTTCATATGACACCTCAATCAGGGCAAATGAGCCAGGAATGACAAAGTTTTGTTTGTTTAAAGTAGTGCTTGCATTTCCATAATTTTATTAAACGAATTCGTTTTCACTGGTTGCCTGCCGTATCAATAAATGAAATTAACAAAAGACTCAACTCCATTTCGTTGACAATCAGCCGTAGACGAGAGTCTTCATGCATGGCCGATTGTCAACGAAACGGAGTTGAGTCTTTTGTCAAATCTGCTTTTTGCTACGGCAGGCACCTAGTGAAAACGAATTCGTTTGTTAAAATTATGAAAATGTAAGGGCTACTTTAAACAAACAGAACTTTGTTATTCCTGGCTCATTTTTCTTGATTGAGGTATCATATGAAAGAGCGGAAAATGAACTTTCTAGAAATATGAATTTTTCTTTGAAATTCAGATACCGCCCGCCAAATTACTTTTTGGTTTCCTTCCTTCAAATTGCTTTTAATCACTTATGTGTGATATATGCATCATATGAGTCACATCAACTGAAAGAGGAGACTCTAAGCTTTCCAAATATGTATCATTCATTAATTATGGTTGTGATTAAGTTATGATAAAACATCGATACTTCTCGGTTTCATTTTTTCTGGGACGCACTGTATATCTTGGCAATAGCCATTTCTATCTTCAGTGCCTTTTAGAGATTATCCAGTAAGTTACACATGTTTTGTTGTCCATAACACCTTGTATTGATTTTTGTGTCATACGCCAAAATGTGTTCAAGTACCTTTGTCATAATTATGTATACATGTACATGCATTTCTTCTATGCAAAGGAAGTCTTCAATAAATCATATTGTACTTAATTGTCTGATAATGTGTTCAGTTAGTGGTTTTTCTTGGTTTGTTATTTTTGTATTAGTAATGTAATGCCTTGTACATGCTCTTTTGATATTTCAATAATTGAATACTGTTAAAGGTAAAGGCCAGTTTTGGAAACGCCCCCCCCCCCCCTCAAAAAATGAAATGAATATACGTGATCATACAAACTTTGCTAAGAAACCGCCCACTAATTGATATATTTGGTAAATTATTTTATCCATTTGGACCTGATAGATATAACGCATGTGTCGCTCACGTGTGCGTAGTCCCATAAACATCTTTCTGTGTACAGTGCTTGTAACTTTACCAAGACTGGGCCACATTTCTTATCATTTTGATGATTCCAGAACCTTGCAGTACACACCAATACTTATATGCTTGATGATCAACCTTTTCTGATTGATTCCACACCGTTTCCTTCACAATGCAATCGCATGACCATAAGGGGTCTTTATCTTTCATGAATGTATAGTAAGGGAAGTATGCAGAATGAAATTTGTACCATAGTATGAATAAACCTAAAATCATACATATAAAAACAGAGGACTTTTGTAATCATCTTTTCTTTATTACCTGTATCAAGTGAGATGCTTTTTCATATAAAATCTGAAATATTCCAAAAAAATTAGATCATCCACTTCTTCATAATACATGTTATGATAGACTTTTCAGATGGCACACTTGAGAACATATGATGATTATATAAAAAGGAAACACTTACGCAATATAGACAGTCAATGATATTTGTAAAATCTTGTCCTGAAATGACTGTTACTTGTACCGGTATATGAAAATCGTATTGCAAAATATTTGAAATAATGAATTATTTCATTCATCAACAATTATTATTGCACATATTGGTCACATCTCACTTTTTGTTTTTGTTCTAGAGTTTTATGAAATAATGTCAACATGATCAAATAATGCAGAACAAAATACAGTCAAATTGATTTCATTTGGACCTACAGGAAACCTCAGAAATGTTCAACTTACATGAAAGTATATTGGAAAAAAAGGTGTTTTTAAGCTGGAATCAAATAGTGCATACATGCCAACATTTGAAAATCAGAAATCTGTACAAATTATGCTATTTTCAAAAAAAAAGAGGAACAATCCTAACTCTCCTATTCAATACTACAGACAAATTTGTACAGGAAGAGGAACACCTGCATTAAAATGATAATTATCTTCTCCAAAAAGAGGAATGTTCCTCTTTAATCTGAACAGTTGGCATGTATGATAGTGTTTTATCAGACATTTTTTTCTTAGAAGAATCTGAGATACTCTTGTAATGATTATCTTTGCAACATAACAGATTTTGATATTTTCTTCCACTCCATCAATGTTTTCAGAGTTAAAATACAACACGCACATGATTGTTTGCTTGCTTGCATACTGGAATGGGAACTTTTTTCAACTTGCACTTTGCAAAGATTTTGTATCCTAATTTCTTGAAGCATCACCTTGGGATATTTGACATTTATGTGGGATCGGCTGCACTATTATTTATCAGGTATTCAGTTCTGCCTTCTAATTACTAACATCTCACCTGCTTTTTGATTGATTCAATTTGTGTTTAAAAAGTAAAAAAGTAATTTTTTTTTTATTTTGATGACTCTGAAAATGCAATGTATATTGAATTGACTAATATGGAGAAAACAAAATGAAAATAGAGAGAAAATACAGACATCATATCTCACAAACGTAAGCAAAAATTTGGCATGTGACAAAATCACATTGGATCTGTCTTCATATCAATGGTAAGCTACTAGTAAATGTAAATCGAATGGTCAAAATCTTGTTTAACATTAAGTAATCATAACAAATCTTCACCTTAGAGTACTCTCCAAAACCTCACTAATGGTCTACAAAATAAACATCAAATGATTATTTTCTTATTAGCACATTAGTTTGAAGCGAGGCATGGGATGATGGTGATCTCTCTAAGCCTTGGAGTCTAGATTGGATTCCGTAGTGACTTGGATTGTCGGATCATTCCCGGCCTTGTAAAGGGCGTTGTCGAAGCCAACGCTGCCCGGGACATCGCTGGTATCCATCTTAAATGATAGAGCGCCTCGCTTGGACCTTACGAAGAATACAACAAGACTGATGCCACAGACGATAATGATCCCTGCGAAGACAATGCCAACGATAGCTCCGGTGGTCATACCAAGCCCTGTGAAAATACATGGTGAGAGGAAATTGGATTGTCAAGACTTCTCGGCTAGTGTTTGTTTTGATACAGGGGTTGTGTAAACACAGTGATTTATGAAATGCAAATGCTCAACCTCTTCATCCTGTTTACCATAATACCATAATTCTATAACTACAAGTGTAAAACATGATTACTCATTAAGAAATCTATTTTCCTTCTTGAATTATTCATTTTGTTTATTCTTACAGAATTTGAAATACCTGTTCGGAATAAAGAGGCTGACAGTTTGTGCTCTACACATCAGAGGACTAATGCTTCAGACTTGTTATTGTAATGTGTAGGGGTATTTATGAATACAGGACATTGTGCCTCCAAACATGACATGAAAGACTATATATATACTGCTATATGTACATAAAGTGTCATTTCACAATATATTGTAAATATGATAGAGGATATGACATCTGTTTTTAGTGTATCTAGAATTCCAGGGGGCTGTTTCACAAAGATCCTAAGTCCAACTTAACTTTAAGTTGGACTTAAACAATATGGAGAGCCATTTGCACCCTTAAAATGAGATATATTCAAAAGCAAAAATTCTACTATTTTAGACTATTCATAAATTCCACATCAAGAACATAAATCTCCTTGATAATAGAAAATATGAATGATTTGAATCAACATTTTATGCGTTTTAAAATAACGTTTACAAAATAATGAAATGAGAGTAAATTTAGCCTAACAAATCTCTAATAAAATGTCAGGATTGTACTCCCATTTGTTTATATGTCACAAAATCATTGGATAATCTATGCATTACACATATTTCACCAATACATCTACATGTATGTTAAATGGAAGATGATTTTCCTGACGTGTCAGCTATGCCCTGTGAATATACAGTCTATACAAAACTAACAAGCTTACTGGTGATGAACAATCTTTTTTTTACCAGCATTGAAATGATTGGTTTACTTACTGTTTTGTACAGGTTGCTCTGTAGGAAACTCTAGAAGAGGGAGAAAAGAAAAGAAAAGAAAAATTAAATGTCAGTTGTTCTGAGTATATGCAGTAATAACTTAAAAGATGTTTTTCAACATTTATGTACTACCTCAAAAGAAATATTCTATATTGAAGCATGTTTTAATTTAAATATTCTTTAAATAGAACAATAAAATAATAACACCAACTGATATAATAAAACCTGCCAAACCGGTTCATTATTTTTGCCTTTAAAGACAATGAATTTGAAATGTTGGTATGATCTATTTCCTGTGGATAAAATGTTGCAGATATAGGAACTCAAGGAGAGCTAGATTACAATCTTCACATGGTCCGCCCTGTTTCAACTTCTGTCATCAAATCAATGTTTACAGCATGCTACTACACTACTAGTATTCTAAAAGTAAATGAATACGTACAATGCAATTTTTAACATTTTATGTTACCATGGCAACTTCTAATTGAATGAATAAATAATATCGACCCACCTCCACCAAGCTTAGGCTGCTCACAGACATATCCCTGGTTATTGAGACAATCCACATCATTCCACTTGCCAGTGCTAAGGTACATTTCTACACAGTCCTCGTAGCCTGGTTGGGTGGCGTAGGTCGGCTCTCCATTGTTCCAGTTGGTGTAATCCACGGGGGTCTCATCTTCCCATACAAATCCGCCTGGGTGAGTGAGTGAGGGGATGGTGGCGAGGCAAAACGAAAGAGATAAATAAATATTAGCTACATATTTCAATAGAACAGAAAGCTTGCATGCATCAACATTCATGTCCCACTTGACAATCGCTTGACATATATGTGCTGTGTGAGAACTAAACGCATTGAGTGAATGTTTGGCTTCTACGATGTGGGAGGAAGGTGTTTGCATTATTACATAACACCTGTTGGATTTAAAAGTAGAGTCCATCCTAAGTGACAAATACATGCAACACCCTTCATCATCATCATTTCACATGCCTTTTTCCCGTACTATGGAGTTGGAAAATTCATTTCCCTACTGGCCCTTCTCCAACCCTTCTACTCTACAACATCTAACAGGGTGAGCTATAGGCCACATCCTCATATCTTCTTCCTGTGTTTCATTCCAGGCTTTTGTGAGGTTTGCTCCTGGGTATTAAGACAGCAGCCACCAGAAAGTCCATACTGCTTTCCGTAGTCAATGGCTTTGCTCTCTCCTAACCACATGTCCTTAACATCTTAATCCATACCAATATTGGGAAATAGCTGCTTGGCTGATTCAAAATTCCCCATGAGAACCCAAGGCTAAATGGATTTTTTGGTATGTTTGATATCATTTTTTTCCCTTCAATGTATACATGTATATACCTGCAGTTTCCCTTCTGAGGCCAGTCCAGATGTCTACACTTCCATCTATCATCAAGGTCCTAATAAGCTCCAGCTCTTGCCGGGTATGGATGCTAGCCAGAGTACCGTTGAGCTGGCTACACTGGAACAAGGCTTCCGGCCAGGACTTGCGATCAGTCTGCGCGGCATACACCTTGTAACAACCGTCATGGTAAGGCGTCCATTCTTCAGGGCAGTAGCCAGGCATTTCTGGGTGTACTGTTGGTGTAGTTACTGTGGTTGTGTGAGAGAAAGCGAGAGAGAGAGAGAGAGAGAGAGAGCGCGTGTGTGTGTGTGAGTGTGAGTGAGTGAAAGACAGGGAGGACAATTTTTTGACGAATTATTTATTTAAATTTGAATGGCTGATTATTCAATAAAAATCCCTATAGAGAAACATGCAATTGGGACAAAAGTATTCTTTATTTTCATATAAACATTTAAATTCTGTTTCATTGGTGCAATGCAAGCTTCATTGTTACAGGAAAGTCATATTGACCCTGAATTGTAGTGATGCTAGACCAGTCAAACGATTGGCTGCAATCTGAAGCTGATGTGGCCTTTACTCCAACTAGAAGGCTTACAATGCACCAAAATTAGATTTTTATTATCACTATTCAGAATGTCAATGAGGAAAATTGTTTGTTTGAACTTCTTTATCTACTGCAAGTACAATATCACAGGAGGCGCAGCTCAGTGGTAGAGCAGTGGTCTCATAACCAGGAGGTCCCAGGTTCAAAAAATTAAGCTGATGCACTAGTACCCTTTGGCAATTAGACATTAATCCTCATTTACTAATTCCCTAAGAGAGGATATAAAGCCATCAGTCCTCTTACTTACAAGCATACACATACTTTCTCAGTAGTCAGGTAAAACAAACAAACATATACAACATCTTTGAAATCAGACCATGTTTGGATTCTAAGCCTTAATGATAGAGAGTATGTACTGTACTGCATTTATTGCTTGGTTCTGAATAGGAAGAGTTATGCTTACCAGTACTGTATTTGCATAGAGGTTTGAAGAGTCCCTGACAGTTGGTATCATCCCATCCTCCTGTAGGTAACAGGCTAATACAACCCTCTCCTGGAGCTCCGCTGGGTTCGCTAGGACCCCAAGCAGTGAACCAAACAGGCCAGGCATCCGTCCACTTGAACGCACCATCCACCTACAAAGATATAGAAAATGTCATCTCATTTTACTTTTAGGCAATTACATTCATGATCTAGTCTAGTGATAGTAAGCATTTTAACCTTTACAAAATGGCTGTGTATACCCTGGTTTGTGGCTCACATGGTTGCATTTCTTATCATACACATCATATACATCATATATTTCTTATCATTTCTCATCATACATCTTGAATGATGACTGACAACTCACTTACAGAGTCAGAGAAAACACATATTTTTTGTAATGTACTATTTGGAAAGGCAAAAACATTTCCTTCCTTTGCCGCCCTTCTTTGTCCTGGTTGCGCTCACATTAAATATCATGAGCAATGGGGGAGAGGAGGGGGGGGGGGGGGGGGGGAGTTGTCTTTCATAATAATGTTTACCTACTGTTTGAACATGGTGAAACTCTTTCCCTTCTATTCTCTGTTAACTTTAATAATGAAGTAGAATATCACAAAACTCATTATTTTGTATGGATATGCTAATAAATTTTTGGAGCCCAAGTCTAGATTTCTTAGAAATCCAGTTTGTGGCAGAGGGCATGTGGCAACTGACTGAAACAACTGAAATTTTGCCTTTTCTGATGCCTTGGATATATAGCAAATGAAGGAGCCCATAAAGATCTGAGTGAAAAAGATGTTCTCTGATGCTTAACGTAAAAATCAAATGAATGAGTGTTTTTCTGACACAAACACAATGTGCACATGCATCTCATACTCACTTGATAGAGACCAATCCAGAGAGGGTCACCACCGGAGGTATGTGACATGGTCTCAGCGAAGGCTTCCTCATACCAGCTCATCACACTACTTAGAGAGACATCATCACCAAGGGACCTACATTCATCCTGGGCCTCAGAAAAGATATAGGGGCGATCAACCACCTGGTAACAGCCGGTATCAAACTGGGTGAAGCCATCCCGACACTCGTTGGGTTCATCGGGTGGAGGTGAGCCATTGGGATCTATTCAGAAACACAACAGCAATTACATGGATTGTTGAAGAGGCATTTTGACCTATTTGTTGTCAGGTAAAATTAATTTTTGCAGAGGGGCAGCATTTTGAAACCCGTTACAGCTCCCTGTTGATTTTTTTGTCTGTTTGTTAGTTCAGTGGTATGAGAGATCAAATTCGTGCAGAATTAACATCTTCACAGGGGGCAGACAGCATATTTGGTGAGACACATTTATGAACTTTAAAAAATGCAAAAAAACAATAAGCAAACATGAGTGCAAATTACAATACAGCTTTGGTTAACAGATCTCTAATAGAGTTTTCAAGATACAGTGGAACCTATATATGAAGACTGATCAAGGAAGCTTTATAGGTAGGGGATCTTTATCTAAAGGTTTCTTTAGTACAGGTTTCAACAAGAAATTATTTTTCAAGGGAAACAAAAATGTGGTCTTCCTAAAGAAGTGGTCACTTAAGGAGGGATTGACTGTACTATCCCAAACTACATAAAATTAATTGAACGTAGAAAGGTTGAACATCTCTTACCTAAGACACCCTGACAGATGAAGCCCAAGATCGCATCACAAGATATGTCATTCCATTTGCCAGCATGAGTATCAATAGCTGTGATCTGGGTACAATCCTCCTAATAAAATGAATACCACATCAAAATAACATTCAAGAGATAATCAAGGAGGCGCAATGACTCGGTGGTAGCTAGAGCAGTGGTCTCGTAACCAAGAGGTCAGTCAATGCGATCATGACCTTTGGTAAGGCATTAATTCCCATTACCAAGTCCTCAAGCATCAAACATTAGATACAGTATACCCCATCATTTGAGACTTGTAAAATGTGGTAAACAGCAACATTTTTATAAATATAATGACATAAGCCTAATATGCTTCACAGTTCTGTATCTTATACAACACAGAGAAAGCGTGAGTGTGAAGAAAGGTATCTGCGCCCAACAAAGGTTCTATGTGTACTCACGTATACGTGTGTTATAAGACATAAAATTGTCAAGCACATTCATATAAGAATCATTTACAGTACCGGTATTGCAAATTACCAGGGCCCCGTTGCACAAAACTTACTGTTGATGGTAACTTTGCCATCAATGGCAACTACCATGGTAACAGGGTTGAACAGCCAATCAAAATCATGGTTTCTATGGAAGTTACCATTGACGGCAAAGTTACCATCAATGATAAGTTTTGTGCAATATGGGACCCTGGTGAAAACCTAGATTACCTAGAATTAAAAAAAATTGTATCAAAATGGTCTCCAAAACATATTTTACAACGTGAAGAACTTGCAAGGGATCATAGATAAATTTAGATTGATCATAAAATGATTCTAAAGATCAGTAGAAATATTTTGAGACAACTTCACATTCAGGCAACAAAGCATATTAGTTGATGCAGAGAGAAAACATGACCTTGGTAAAATACCAGTACAAAAAACCAACAACTTACACCGCTGCCGAAATTATTGGGTTCTCCTGGGTTCCAGTAGGTGTAGTCTACAGATGAGCCATCAGTCCAGTAGAATTTTCCACTTACTATCGAGTCGCTAAGCCCAATCCACATAGCTATTTCTGTCTTAACCAACTTAGATGTCAGGTATGCTGTGTGTTTGAAAGAAGCACATCGCTATTAAGTAACATCAATTTGTGTTCATTGGAAGCCCTTTACTGGTACAATACAGTACCTATGAATTGCTTTCATTACTAATATTAAAGAGTGATACTCATTTCATATACCCCAATCACACCAAAGAGAAGGACACCACACAGACAACAGACTGAACAAAAATTACAAGTACATCTAGTCCAATTGGAATTGGTGTAAAGTTGATTTGGTGGTGTGGCTAGTATTAGTTAGTTTTTACATTTAGAGAAAGCATTATATTGCCTTTCCTGAGAAAAATATTTGGGATTCATTTGAACCATATGAACAAATTGTCTGTTCAAAATACAGAAGAGCTTTAACTCTGTATCAAAGTTTCCAGCTTCAAACAAGCAAAATTCTTTGTGTATGAATGTGAACTAGATGGAATTCGACTGCGCGCAGTCGAAAATGATGCCTCCGTCATAGAGCAATTTTACAAACCGAAACGGAAGAAATTTTTCAAATTCAAGTTCAATTGTAATCCATTAACATGTTCTCAGAATATCGTGATTACAAGCAATTTCTCATATACATATATGACCCTTTGATCTTTGACCTCATGACCCTAAAATCTACTCAGTTCATTGGCTCTGCAAGATTTCCTGAGTTAAATAGTAATCCATCTGTCAGTTCTAATGAGAATGCGTCCACAAGCTATTTTTGCATACATAATGAGCCCATGACCTTTGATCTTATGAACCATTCATTGGCTCTGCAAGATACATAAATGATCTAAGTTTGGCAGGAATCCATCAATCTGTTCTAATGATAATACGATCACAAGCTATTTTTGCATACATAATGAGCCGCATGACCTTGACCTTTACCTCATGACCCCAAAATCTAATCAGTTCATCAGCTCTGCAAGTAACATACATGACCTAAGTTTGGCAGGAATCCATCAATCGGTTCTTCAGATAACGCGATCACAAGCTGTTTTTGCATACATAATGAGCCCTGTGACCTTTAACCTTTGACCTCGTGACCCCAAAATCTAATCAGTTCATCAGCTCTGCAAGATACTTACATGACCAAAGTTTGGCAGGAATCCATCAATCGGTTGTTCAGATAACGCGATCACAAGCTGTTTTTGCATACATAATGAGCCCTGTGACCTTTGACCTTTGACCTCGTGACCCAAAATGTAATCAGATTGTTTTCCTATAGTGATACACACTATCACTAAGTTTGAAGTTTAAATCTCCAGTGGTTCTTGAGATATCATGATAACAATCTCAATGGATGGAATTTCATAAGTTGACCTCTGTGACCCTTGACCTTTGACATACGTGCTCCAAAATCTAATCAGATCGTCTTCCTATGGTGATACATACTATCCTTAAGTTTGAAGTTTAAATCTCATATGGTTCTTGAGATATCGCGCTAACAAACTCAATACAAGGAATTTCATAAGTTGACCTCTGTGACCTGTGACCTTTGACCTACGTACTCCAAAATCTAATCAGATCGTCTTCCTATGGTGATAAATACTATTCCCGAGTCTTAAGTTTAAATCTTAAATGGTTCTTGAGATATTGTGATAACGGTCAAACGGGACGGACGGACGGACGTACGGACGGACGGACGTACGGACGTACGGACGTACGGACGGACAACCCGAAAACATGATGCCTCCGGCACCACCTTCGGTGGCGGAGGCATAAAAATCAATTGTACTGATTCTATTTACGATGAATATAACATGACTATACGCCCTACGCACCTTGCAGTTCATGGCTGTGCACGGTCACCAGGTTAGTGTTGGCTATGTTCTTGCAGGTATCTCTCGCATCAAACCAACTCATACGCTGGGCAGCATCATCCAAACCATATATCTTATAGCACCTGTTGTCGAACCTCAACCAGCCGGTTTGGCAGTTCCCGATTGGAGAGAGCGTTGGTGGGTGCGTGACAGGGCCGATGTTTCCGTACGGCTTACGACAGACAAAGACGGTTTCTTTGGCACAGTTGGCATCATTCCATGTCCCCCCTAGCAATGGAATAAACAAATTCAACAACAAAAAAGATATATGAAATTACCCCCATATATATATCCCTATTACTCCCGTAAAACTACCCCCTTGCAGGTATCAGTAACCCCCTTGGCCCTCTGATAGCTTTATACTAAGGAGTAATCATGAAAAGGGGTAGCTGTGAACAGTTAGCTGCCAGTTGTAAGACAATTGCTTCCACAAAAAATGCTCTGCATAATTTCCTACACTAACCAATTCCTAACTTCTAACCTGTTGTACAGTGTATATGGTTTCTACTTTCCACTATGCTGAAAAATCTTTTAGTTGGTTGCTATTCATGAATTCTCATTTTGGCGATTGATAAAGATTTGGGGGAAGGCATTTTTGTTTCACTGACCCCGAGCTGTGTTTTCTGAATTGCTATAGTTCTTTCTCCTTACCTAGTTTCTCTCTCGAGAAGCTTGCCTGCATGTTCATTCATTTTGAATTCACTTACCTGAATAGTACTCAGCACACTGCTCCTCCCCATTGTAATCATTTGGTTCACCACTAGTCCAGCTTGTATAGTCTACTGCTGAGCCATCACTCCAACTGATTGAGAGAGGAATTAGAATACAAGAGAGAGAGAGAGTGAGAGGGTGCCAGTGAGAGAGAAAAAGACAGACAGATGGAGATACGGAGAGAGAGAGAGGGTGCCAGTGAGAGAGAAAGAGACATACAGATGGAGATACGGAGAGAGAGAGAGAGGGTGCCAGTGAGAGAGAAAGAGACATACAGATGGAGATACGGAGAGAGGGAGAGAGAGGGTGCCAGTGAGAGAGAAAGAGACATACAGATAGAGATACGGAGAGAGGGAGAGAGAGGGTGCCAGTGAGAGAGAAAAAGACAGACAGATGGAGATACGGAGAGAGAGAGAGAGAGAGAGGGTGCCAGTGAGAGAGAAAGAGACATACAGATGGAGATACGGAGAGAGAGAGAGAGAGGGTGCCAGTGAGAGAGAAAGAGACATACAGATAGAGATACGGAGAGAGGGAGAGAGAGGGTGCCAGTGAGAGAGAAAAAGACAGACAGATGGAGATACGGAGAGAGAGAGAGAGAGAGGGTGCCAGTGAGAGAGAAAGAGACATACAGATGGAGATACGGAGAGAGAGAGAGTGAGAAGGTGCCAGTGAGAGAGAAAAGACAGACAGATGGAGATACGGAGAGAGAGAGTGAGAGGGTGCCAGTGAGAGAGAAAGAGACATACAGATGGAGATACAGAGAGAGAGAGAGGGGGTGCCAGTGAAATATTAGAACCTTCACATAACCTATTCATTGATTTCATGAAAACCTAGTCATATGGGTTCATCAGATATCCTACTGCTGCCACCACACGATTGAAAGACAAGAGCACTACCAAGAGATTGCTGAACATAGCCACCCAATAATAATTCTAGAGAGATTAATAGACTGACAACACTACAGCTGAACACTAACTTAACACCATGGTGCTGGGACTTACGAGAAAACTCCTTCTGTTGTGTATTCCCTCAAGCCTATCCATGAGTATTTCCGGTCTTCTACTTCTCCAAATCGTACCATCTAGAAAGACAAATGGATATGCTTGAACAAAAAACAAATATAGTGTATGATTCCCTGTAAACATGCATGAAGATTGCACAGCATCTACCATCAGTTGTTATCATACATTCAATAGTTTGTTATCTGTGGTTGCATAAAGAGGTTTTAAGATCACATGCCCAACATATTAAGCTTTATATATTGTATTATTCCTGATTTGTTGTTTTTAGTACTGAAATGAAAAATAGAGCACTTGATTAGCAAAAAGAATAAAATTATATTTATATTTCATGAAATGATTATTGTCCTTTCTTATTTGGGGGTAGGGGTGCTATATGCCCGGCCCCCCCCCCCCCCCCCACTCTGGGGTCGGAATGACCGCATGCGTGTTACCAAAATGTCCGGTAAAGGGGTACTTTTCACGCACCAAAGTCCGGCTCGTACATACACAAAATCGACTTTACACACCGGACTTAGGGGGTGTTTTCAAAAGGAGGGAACACGCATATGCGTACCCTAAATAACACTAAGTGGGAGGGGCCGGGGCTATATGACAAGAAATCTACAAGAGAGTAATTTAAAAATAGACTGACATAGTTCTTGAGGAAGTCATTTTCCTCTTGGCTATGTATAGAGGCAAGGTAGCCACCACTCTGCATGCAGTACTCGTTAGCATTCATCCAGCTCTTCAGACCGGCGTCTTGGCTTAGACCCTGACTGAAGAAATAGCAGTAGTTGTTCAGTGGGTACAGGATCCAGTCTTGGTTGTCTAGACAAGGAGGATCTGATGATACAAAAGAATGAACAAAATTAAGATTTCATTCAATCCTTGTAATTTCATGAGGTTGTCAACAATGGACTTACATGTTTATAATTGGTCCAGATTTTTGTCATCAATGTACCTAATTGGTCCAAATAATTATCCAATTACACAGATATAAATAATTTGTCAGACTACCACCCCAGACATCCAGCAGGTATAGAATCATATAACCCTGATATATCACTGTGTGATAGCATTTAACGTTATATAAATGCCTGGAGGTGAACTTTTGAGAGCCATCAATGGAATTATAGTATCCAAAGATACTGCTGGGCAAAATATTTTAATTTGAATAGAAAAATATGAAGGGTTCATAAAAACTTACATGGCGTAACCGTACTAGGAGCTATGGTCGTGTATACTGGATGTGTATCTACAGTAGAGAGAATAGGGGAGAAAGAGAGAAAGAGAGAATGGGAGAGAAGGAGAAAAGAGAATTGGAGAGATAGGGAGAAGAAGAGATAAATGAAAAAAAGAAACAGGAAAGAAGAAGAGATAAATGAGAAAGAGAAACAGAAAGAGAAACAGAGATAAAAAAAAAGAGAAACAGAGAGACGGAGAGAAAAAGATTGAGGGGACAGAGAGGGAGAGAGAGGCAAGGAGGATACAGCAGAATGAAAGGCGGATGGAAAGGAAAGAGCAGAAAGAAACAGACATAGAAAGAAAGAGATAGAGAGAAGATGGAGAAAATACAGAATTAAGGGAATTATAAAGATATATTAGCAGATAGTACACAAGATGATGGGAAACAAATACGCAAAATAAAGACAGATTTTTTGCAAAAATGGAACAATACATTGAAAGAAACCAACGAGCTGACGTTAGAAATACAAGCATAATACTGTAATACTGAGTAAATGCCCTTCTAGCTCTGAAGTAAACTCAGTAAACATATGACACATGCACACAAAGATGCAAAACACCTGTTGACATATATTCTATAATGATGGATGTTTCTATTATCTTCCACTCTCTAAATCCTCATGTAGTCACTCGCAGGAAATCTCTTATTTCATCCAAAATCCTATGTTGAACCAAAAGCATGACACAGTTCATGTTTCCATAGCGAAATTCAATGCAGAAAAATCTAGACATGTCACAGCTTAGGTATGTTTCCAGGAGATACCTACATATTTTTATAACGGTCTATATACTACAAATAAGAGAATATTCCATATGAAAAGGACAGCAGGGAAAGCGGGACAGTATTTCTTCCTAGATTTTCCCATTTCCCTGGGATTAGTGAACCCCAAGAGGGTGTTGAAATATGACATTATACCCACTTGGATACATGGATAGCTATATCAAACAAACAAACCAGACATGACTAGGTAATTTTTTCACAATTTGAAGAAGAAAAAAAAATTGATAGTAAGCCGATCTAAAAAATAGTAAGTTTTGAAAACTATCAAATTACATTATCAATATCATCGGTTTAAAGTTCCTCCATTTAGAAGTACCTTTAGTATCAGTTTTTGTTTAATTCTGTTCGAAGACTTTGAAAACAGGAGCACAATCCAAAATTCTCCTACTCCTACCCCCTCTCTCTCTCTCTCATTCTCTCTCTCTCTCTCATTCTCTTTCTCTCTCTCTCTCTCTCTCTCTGTGGCTCAGAGCCCTTTTAGCTTGGAACAGATGATATGGCACATAGAGAGAGAGGGATGCATATTGCGAATCAACATTACGTATTTTTCAACAATTCCTCATCTTGGCTAGTCTAAGGATACAATACCTTTTAAAGATTTCCAGGCTAGTTCTTGCCCCAGGAAGAGGGGTTCCTTCTTAAAAATAAATATTTTCTTCCTAACTGTCTAGAAGAAATGGACTTTGTTTCTACTGCCTGAACGACTATAACAGTTTCAGAAATTGTTCTCAAAATTGTTTGTATAACTCCAGAGAATTTAGAAAGCATGTTTGTTGACATGGTATCAAGAATCTGACTGTCATACTCCATGACTAGCCCCATCGTGGATTTGACAATGTTGGGATTTATTTGAGTTTCGACAAACTGGCTGTCATTTTCAACTTGTCTAGTTGTTGTGAATGTCCCATCCTTGGGCTGTATTTGAGTTCCTATGTCCTGGCTGCCATATTTGGCAGCCAATAGAGTAGAAATCACAGATGTTTCAGCAACATTGGGCTGTATTTGAGTTTCAAGAAAATGACTGTCACTGTAGTCTGCTTCTACAGATGTCAATGTTGTACCGGTATCCAAGGGAGTAGCATCTGTTGATGTTGCACCAAAACGGAGCTTTATCAAAGTTTGCAGAACTCCAACATCACTTTTCTGAGCTTGATTAGCTGTGGATCTGATAGCTGATGGAGCAGTAGTCTTTAAGGTTGCAACATTAGACTGTATTTGTGTTTCTAAGTACTGGCTTTCATGGTTCTGAACAGTGCCGGTTGTGGATATTGCAACTAATGGCGCAGCTTTCAAAGACGTCACGTCATTGGGCTGTATTTGTGTTTCAAACAACTGACTCTCATAGTACTCCTCTTGTGCAATTGTTGCAACCAATGGGGTGGCACGGAATGAATTTTCAGTCAAAGTTGAAGCGGTTTGGATCCGCGTCTCATGACATTGCACCATTGTAAACAATAGTAAGAGGGCAATCTGATTCCATAGCCATTTCAAATCATCCAAGTTATCTCTTGTGGTGCATTTGAAGGAGAGCGTGAATTCCATATTTTCTTCTGCTTAATCCTTCAAACAGCAATCAAAGAATAAATGCTCAAGGAAGTAGAGATGTAGCTGATCTGCAACTGCACTGTCAGTTTTGCCTTATGCCAACACTAGCTCTAATGACAGAGGTATTTCTGGGCTCATATAGTACCAGACATAGATAATTAGCTTAACTTAATCAGCAGAAATATTTGTTTACAATGCGCTAAACACTTTTAATTGGAGTAGTATCCTGCCTAGACGTAGCTGGTGTATAGATATTCTTGATAGTACAAGCAGACAATTATTTAACTGTCTCACACTGTAGCAGTATACTGTTGTAGCTCATGATATATTTTTGTCTTTGTAGCAAGACAGGAAATATGATGCCTTTGACAGAGTCACATCAAGGACAGCAGACTCTAAAATACATCTCTTGGGGGATGATGGCCAACTTGACTGAAAATGCTAAAGATGAACAGGATCGCTGCACACTCACAATGTTAATTGCACACATCCTCATACTTTAAACTTCAAAATGCACAAGATTTGACAAGCTGCCACACAGACCCAAACGGTGCATTTTTCTGAAATTGATGAGAGAAGTCAACAAATGTCATGAAAAACAATATCCATAACACATGTTGGATGTGTGAATGCAGTTTGGATGTTGCTCATGCTAGGTTTGAATCTATGTTTCCTGATACTCTATTGCACCATAAATCTGAGATATCCAAATAAACTTTTCACCTCCATTCTTTTAATTAAAAATGAATTGGTCACGCCGTAAGCTGGATCCAAACCTTTCCAGTTGCGTTGGAAACATCTTTTATTTTTCTCCACAACTATCTAAAGTGCAACATCATTGTTAACTCTTGTGCATATAACAATGGAATCAGAGTTGTTCAAAACACACTTGCATTGCCATTTCAGGAATTAAAATGGAACTGTGTCAAGAGCAAACATTGTAGATCTGTCCTTGCAGTCTACCCCAGCTGCTCAAATCCAAGTTCATTGTGACACACTCAATTAAAGCTCTATTAGCCTAGCTGCAATGTCTTGGCTGCCCTAAGACTTTGATCATACTATCCCCCCTTACAGGAAGGGGGGCAGGGGGCAACCAATTCCAAATTTAGAAAGAGCAACATGTGGGTCCTGTCTTATGTTTTCCTCAACTGTAACAAGCTTCACACAGGGGATGTTATGGGTTTACTGTTTTCTGTTTTCCTTAATTAAAACTTGGCAGCCTGCACCCATACAAAGGATATGATAATTTACAATGGATAAACTCTGCATAGTTGAAATGCTATTGTTCCATATTTATTACCCTACTTTTTAGAGTACCACTTAGTACACTCCTAGTCTGCCAACTTGAATAAGTGTAAGAGCCAACTGTTACTTAACATCAGTTTCACTCTTCATCTTTAATGGCTGAATTAATTATTAACTTTAAAATGTATTATGTAAAAACTGGATGACAACCTGCTATCTTAATTGCTCTAAACATGCTTGATAATTGAAAATTGTGGGCAGATCTTCTTCTTCGAAAGTCAACAAAATATAACTCCCTCAATTTTCACTTGCTTTCTTTCCCCTGATTTCCTTCTCAATCTTCCTGGAACCTATCCTACTTCATTAATCAACCCATCTTCTCTAAAAATGTTAGTTTTGCAGACTAGAAGCTATTCAGCAATGGATTGTATGGTTTGAGAAATCACATCAGTTGCCAAACTTAACTTGAGATTGAACAGGAAAAGACAAATGAAATCCTGGCTTCTCCATACCGCTGTTGATTATTTTCAAGTTCATGAATGCTACACATATCAAGGGAATACAATACAGTTTATCTTCATAAAGTGTATATAAAACTTATAAAACCTCCCTGATCATGATGACTATATATACTACATGTATCTCTTAGTTCCCTGAATACAATTAGGAAAGTAAAAATTTTGAATTAAAAAAAAAAGACGTATGAAATCCAATTACACACTCCTGTTAACATTGTCAATAATATCCCTTTCCTTATTCATTCCAACTCTATTCCTGACTTATAAAGAGAAAAGGCTGGAAAAAGAGGTTTATGATATCTTTTTATCTATCCTCAAGTCTAAGAAGTGATCAGTCAAAACAGTCAGCAGACATATGAAATGTGTTGCTTGATATATGATACAGTAACAAATGTATTAGATCTTCATACCCAATATAAATGTCAAAGGCTTAAATTCCTACTGTCTATTCATTACAGAAAGGTTCTAGTTTGGATGAAATAACATTCAAAACAAATCTGTATTGCATTTTAAAGTCATCGCAATTTCTTATGGGCAATTGTTAAAGAAAGTTCTAATTATGATATAAGGTAATTTTTGAAAAAGAACGAGAGAAAATTTGACAGAGAGAATGGGGTCATCCAGGTGAACTAATTCTAGTAACCAGATTAATAACAACATCATGGCCACCCTGCATTCCAGTAACCCTGGACGGTTTTAATCTCGATGTCTTTTCTCTCTCTCTTTGCTTCTCTGTCTCTCCTCTATCTATCTATCTTTCTTTCTAGCTGTCTCTGTATCTGTACGTCTGTCTCTCTCTCTCTCCCTCTCTCTCTCTCTAGCTTTCACATTCTTCCAGAACCATTACACTCTGTCTCACACACACAAACACATGCACACTCAAACACACATACTCTCTCTCTCTCTCTCTCTCTCTCCTTCTTAGTCTGTCTGCCAGGAAGTAACACCTTCTCAGGTTTCACAGGTATATATCCAACACTAACTGATCACCTAGCAACAAGACAAGCCGTTTGTGACTGTAATCTTACCCTGAATCAGTATCACTCATAAACTAACTCTAATGAGCCTTGGAAAGTACAAGTACATCAAACAGAGTTTATCATCTGTTTAGTGCCGGAAGGGTGATCATCTCCCTTCTGGCTCTCAAAGGACAATATGAATGAAGATACAAACTCATTTGTCCTCTTATGTCAACACATAATAGAAGCAAACCTTCATCATACTGTAATCTAAAAAGAACAATTCAAACCTGGAAGAAAACTATCCAAACGATTTTGAAATTTAAAGAATAACTCGATATCTTTTTGTATTGTTGTTTTTTGGTTTTCATATATAGTAAGGATGTTATTTCCAATCTTTGCTGTGCCACCTGCAGAAAGATCTTAGTTGTCCTGTGAAAATGACAGTTAAATAGAGAACATCACATCTCATCACAGCAGAAAGCATGCCACAAACAAAAAACTGAAAACTCAAGATGGTTTTTAGCATACCTCGACATCTCATACTGCAATTTAAATGCATTTGGGCTGTGATTAATGAATACATTTTCATCAATTAAGGATGTGAAACTGAATCTAAGAAGTGATTGCATTAAAAAAAAGTAACTGCATATATGATGTGATTCTGAATACATTATCTTCACTTTGTCTGAACTTACATTAAAAATAGTAATTGCAGTCTCTGATGTGATATGTGAATGCATTTTCATCACTAAAACATATTGATACTGCATTAAAAAGTATCTACATTCTGTGATGTAAATTTTGAATGCATTTTCATCACTTTATAAACATGTGACATGAAAATGGTAATTTCTCCAAAGATGTGACTTCTGAATGCATTTTCATCATAAAGCATCTGAAACTGCATTAACATATTAACTGCATTGAAAGATGCTATTTCTGAATACATTTTCATCACTTAACCAGCTCAAAGTGTATTCTGTGTATGATCTTGAATGAATTTTCAAATTAATTTACAAACTTTTGGAAATTTTGCAGATCCAATCATTGAGGTTAGTGCAATAGATGTCATTCCATTTCCGTCCATTCAAGAAGACCTCTGTACAGTCCTCTCCTGGACCCCAGTTATTGGGTTCACCCGTGTTCCAATTGGTATGTTCTACTGGAGTACCATCTGTCCACGTAAACCCTAAAGAAAAATACATAAAATCATTTTTTAATCCATATTATATACTTACGATATTCCAGTTTACAAAAGTCAAGCCAGAAGTTGAAAAAAAAAATAATTTACGATTAATGTCAGACATCTACTAACCTCCTTCTTCTGATTGGTCATGGAGTCCAACATACAAACTTGCAGTGCTGAAAATTAACAGAAAACAAGTGTTTGATGTATCTAAGTGCCGGTCATGGGATTTGTAAAAATGTGGTTTTCACAAGTGAATGGAAAGCATTGAGGACTGTCATTATACAAGTCAACAATATTAGAAAAAGTTAATAATAATTATAATATTAATAACACTGAACATTTATAATGCGCCATGTCTGTCAAAAATGACACTCCTGGCGTAGTCGTGTGGAAATTGTATAATTGTGGGCATACGACCATCAAGTAATTCAAGAAAGTAAGTAAAATACACATAAGTTAAAGTTTAATCAAATTCAGGACATAATTTGCAATAATAGAATAATACAATACAAAACATATTACAGTAATAAAAGGATGGCCTGACATAACATATGCTGGGTACACACTCACCGACCAAAAGGGGTAGTATAAATTTAATGGACTCCAAATATTTTACTCCAGACACTAAGAAAACTAGATGGAACTTCGACTGCACGCAGTCGAAAATGATGCCTCCGTCATAGAGCAATTTTACAAACCAAAACAGAAGAAATTTTTCAAATTCAAGTTCAATTGTAATCCATTAACAGGTTCTGAGAATATCATGATTACAAGCAATTTCTCACATACATATATGACCCTTTGATCTTTGACCTCATGACCCTAAAATCTACTCAGTTCATTGGCTCTGCAAGATGTTCTGAGTTAAATAGTAATCCATCTGTCAGTTCTAATGATAATGCGTTCACAAGCTATTTTTGCATACATAATGAGCCCATGACCTTTGACCTTATGAACCAAGAATCTACTCGGTTCATCGGCTCTGCAAGATACATAAATGATCTAAGTTTGGCAGGAATCCATCAATCTGTTCTAATGATGATGCGATCACAAGCTATTTTTGAATACATAATGAGCCGCATGACCTTTGACCATGACCTCATGACCCCAAAATCTAATCAGTTCATCAGCTCTGCAAGTAACATACATGACCTAAGTTTGGCAGGAATCCATAAATCGGTTCTTCAGATAACACGATCACAAGCTGTTTTTGCATACATAATGAGCCCTGTGACTTTTGACTTTTGACCTCGTGACCCCAAAATCTAATCAGTTCATTGGCTCTGCAAGATACATACATGACCAAAGTTTGGCAGGAATCCATCAATCGGTTCTTCAGATAACCGATCACGAGCTGTTTTTGCATACATAATGAGCCCTCTGACCTTTGACCTTTGACCTTGTGACCCCAAAATCTAATCAGTTCATCAGCTCTGTAAGATACATACATGACCAAAGTTTGGCAGGAATCCATCAATCGGTTCTTCAGATAACGCGATCACGAGAACGGGACTTACGTACGTACGGACGGACGGACAACCCGAAAATCCAGAGAAGAGTCAATGGTTATCAATTCACATAAATTTGCATGTCATAAAAATCACATACTTTCTTCACCAATGTGAGACTAATTAAGTGCTAAAATTGAGTAAACATGTATTGAGCCAAAATTTGAAACTTTCTAATTTCAAATTTGCATTTCATATTGCTTAAAAAGAAAAGGACATTGCAACAGCTGTATAACTGTGTCTTTCTATTTTTTTTTAGATAACTGATTGATTTTTTTGTTGGTATTCACAAATATTTGAAGGCTTGAGAATGAAGTTACCTATCAGGGTATCCAGACAGGATATAATCCTCCTCAGCCTGACTGTGGAAACTGGCTAGGTCCGCTCCCATGGCCAAGCAGTACATACGAGCATCGTCCCAGTTACGACGTGTGGCTCCACTCACATCAGACAACACAATCTGATATACAAAGTACAAGGAGTAATCAGTGGTTAGGAAGAAAGAGAGCCATTGGCTCCAAAGAGCAATGAACTTCCAGGTTGCAGCAATGCCACTTGCTGCCTGATTTTCAATATCTTAATGAGTATGAATAAATGATAGCAAAATTTGCAATGACTTGAATACAAATCAAATTATTCAGGAAAATCTAAATTTGAATTTCCCTTGCTCTCTATAACTTTGCAGTAAAATAATGCAACACAATACACTCAAACAAAACTACCTTCAAGTTTTAAAATGAAAGTTCTATTTTCAATTTTCTCAAAGAATACTAAATGTAAAGAAGACAATTGTTACAGTTGTTACAGTTCATTTTAGCAAATATGGACAAATATCATTCCTATCTAATGTTTTGACGTCTTACAACTTTTTACACTTTTTTCTTACCAAATAACCATACAATATTTCCTAATGATCCCATGCATGATTCCAAATTTGTCCATATTAAGGCATACAATACACCACATGCTATTTTTTATTTGAAGGCATACAATATATCATAAGCTATTACCATGTAGCAGTTGGCACCATAGCCTTTCCAGTTTGAGTCATAGCATCCTACATCACTAGGTGCAGTAGCGAGTGTTGTTGGTCCTATGGTCTGGGGCGCTGAATAGCCGCCACGACCGCGCTCACAAAGATATTTGTTTGTTGAGGCACAGTCGATGTTACGCCACAATCCAGCCATCATTCCAGATGTTGATGCAACACAGTTGCCCTTTGTATCATCTTTACATGAATAATCAGCAAGTAATTTTTCAGTGCATTTCATTTGAGAAATCGACATAAATTATACCAAATGTACGTACACAACTGAAATTGAAAATTGAAAATTGAAAACTACAAAAGACAATTACCTAATAGAGCGACATTTGATAGAATGTACACAAAATTAAAAGACTGTACTATTCAAGTGAAACATTGTTTATGCAAAGGAGATATAGACGCGCCGTAAAGCTAACATTATCTGACATCGTAATACCTATCATGCTATTCATTTTTACATCATCATCACAACCATATCATTATAATTACCTAGTTTTACTTACGATCATCCCCATTATTCTACCAATCTTTAGAATTTTGTGAAGGTACATGGCAGGACAAGTTATTTCTCTGTTGCAAAGTGGGATATTGTTCCATGTTTTAAATGCCGCCTCTGTAAAATGTTTTTCAAGTTTTAATGTATTTATATAGTGATACGTAACATCCTCCGAGCAGCAGCCAAACTATTTGATTGGCATATTTTGGCCTGTGTGACCAGCTAGCTGTCAATGCAAATATCTGTTGATAGATGATCTTGCTTTTGTTTGCAATTGCACAATATATACCAACAAAATTCTACCTGGTTGAGCATAGTCCCAGTTGGTAAGGGTAACTGCTGTATTGTCACTCCAGCTATACTGGCCTGGATTCTCGACATCACTCAGTCCGGTCCAGAACAGACTGCCATCTTGAGAACCTAGTATGCTGGTCAGAACACTCTGCTCATACCTAGTAAAACAGAACATCATAATCAACATTAGGCCTGAGTCATGTCGGGATTTTCATAAACCGGGTCCCGACGGCCTTGTACCGATCGGGACCCGGTGTCCCGAAATCAGCTCGCAGGATTTGTCACTTGCCTCTATAAAAAGCGCATATCATCAGTATGTCCCTTAAAAGTGACCTTTTTTATCAATCAAATTAATAAGCACATGCATACCTCGGCTCAGATCGGTATATTCTTCCATTTGACATTATTTTCATCCATGATTGGCGATGTTTAGTGCCATTTTCGTGCCTCTAAAAGTAAAAAACTGGGGCAGAAATGTAAAGACAACATTCGAGCCGCCATTTCGATTTATGCAGGTTGAATAATTCTGGTCAAAAAATATGAATGTTAGAATAATAAAACGGCTTTCTAAAAATTTCTTCTGTACAATATACCGATCATATAATATTTTAAAGACAAAATAAATATTTATCTCTTATTTTAAACATCGCATGCTTTTTTTTAAAAGCTGAAAATTACTTGGTAATCAAGAGTTTCGATACGGATAGCGTTGCAAGGCAAGTTGAGACTAGTCTCAGAAAAATGCGCAGTGCTCCTCGTAATTAGCTGTAATGCGTGCCAGAAAGAACCCAAACAAAGACGTGATCGTAACGAGAAAAAAATCATTAAAAACTACGAGAGCACGATTGGAAAGACAACTACTGCTCAAAATTACCATAATCAGATAGATAACTTGGACAAAGAATTCATTAATCGCCCAAGAAATGCCACAGAAATTGTGATAATCAAGGAGTAACTGGGTACATTTTTATTGCAAGGAGCCTGCTGCAAATACTTGAATCCTTTGTTATACGGCTTTTTACCGTAGAGGGCGGTATTTGCCTCGTATAGCCTCGTGTTCAATTTAAACACATGTAATTCGGATATTGCAGCAGGCCCTTCCGATAATGATTGTACCTATAGTAACTCCTTAAATATCACTATTTATGTGGCTTTTCTTGGACAACTATTGTTTTCTTCCTCCAAGTTATATATCTGCTTACGATAATTTTAAGTAGTTGTCAATCCAATTGTGCTCTCGTAATTTTTAATGATTTTTTTCTCGTTACGATCACGTCTTTTTTGGGGTTCGTTCTGGCACGCATTACAGCTAACGAGGAGCACAGTGCGCATTTTTCCGAGACTAGTCTGAACTTGCCTTGCAACAGCTATCCGTATCGAAACTTCTTGTGATTACCAAGTAATTTTCAGCTTTTAAAAGAAGCATGCGGTGTTCAAAATCAAAGAAAAAATATATATTTTGTCTTTTAAAAATTATTCGATCGGTATGTTGTAAAGAAGTACTTTTTAGAAAGCCGTTTTATTATTCAAACATTAATGTTTCTTTCAACCTGATTCCTGCCGAGAGACCCGGCCAGTACAGTAGCTAGATAGCAGCTGGCAACAACAACCCCATGGGGCGAACTGCCTAATTCTCGCTACCCTAAATAGGTACGAAAATCTCGAAATTCGCGAGACGAGGTAATTTTCACTCTCTCGGGTCGTCACTACAACTTCCGGTATAGAGTCCCATCCCGCTGGCGCTAGCGCCTGTGTTCGCTGTGCAGAGTTTTCACGCACGCTAAAATCGATGCCAATCAGTGTAATTTGTACAGATTATAATATGCAATGGAAAGCTTCGGGCAGAATTAGTGACTTTAGCACAAAAGGCCGTTAAACTCTACCGTGAAAGAGAGGGTTGTGATCACGAACGCCTGCACAGGAAGCTGTAATGTCGAAAAGCTATCCCATAATGCAATGCGCGTTTTCAGGATTTTCCCCGGATCTCGGCAGAATCGCTATTTGGGGTAGCGAGAATTGCAACCCATATTTATATCAGCAGTTCGGATTGATTCAGGATGAGCTAGAATATGATTGGTAACCATTAAATACTTAAGTTTTAAGGTGGATTGATTTTAGTGGTGTGCAAAACTGCAATTTCTTACATATTTCGTTATTTTTTTCGGAGCGTCGGTTCTCAAAAAACGAAACCGGGACCCGACGGCAACGGTCGGGTCCCGGTGTGATCGTCGGTACCGACTCAAGCCTAATCAACATCATAATCAAAAACATAATCAATATCATAATCGTCATCATTTGCTGCATTTTTCCTTGATATCAAAATGTTAATGTGAATTTAGACCATCCAATCCAGTCAACCCATTTTCACGTCTTTAACTAACTGAGTGACGCGGTAAACCACTACAATAAAAGGCACATTTTGTAAAACATGTAAATGAATGGCGAATGCATGCACCAAAGGTCCTACACATCTTCTCTTAGATCTGTCTAAGAAATGTGAAGCATCTTTGTCTCTTCATTAAACAAAAATTGCTGCAGTTTGCAGCTCCATATGTATAAGGCTTTACTGACCTATCAGCGACAGAGACAAGGTTTCCACGGGGGCTGAACCCGGCACAGTCAGCTCGAGCATCCGCCCAGTTTTTGGGTGTATCCATCACAAAGTAGCAAGAGCCTCCATTGGCTATATCACCCTGATAGAATCAAGACATACCTTTGCAAATCTTATTTCAGTTTAGTCAATCTTCATGACATAATCACTTGACAAAATTAAAGACAGCTCTGATTTTCATACACATAGATTACCATTTGTTGAAGTTTACAATAACGTAAAGAAGAACTTCAACATAACTTTGAAATATTGTCAGAAATGTTGTTTCTCCCACATTAATTCATAATTCATCTCTACATTGTCTTTAAGCTAACCTTCAGTATTAAAGGAGAGAGCAAACCCTAGATATGAGATGATATGCATGCATTTTTGCAATTCCTCTTTATCATTGACTTTGTTTAATTACTAGTGGTTCAATGTGAATACTTTTTGGGTATCCCCTCTCTTGATATGTCTCATGTTTGCAGAATCTGCCATTCATATGCTGAATAGAAAGTGAATCTAATGGTCAGGATAATAACACAATGTGAATTGATTTTCAATTAACAGTGTAAATGCTAATAGTGTTGTTTAAACAAGAAGGTATCCCTTTGTTTTTTTAAAAAAAGGGTTGGAGGTGGGGGTGGAGGTTGCACCTCTGGACAACACCATATATTTGAAGATAATTCTTTTGTTCAAAGAGCTTTAATGACTGAATCACCCCGATTCTTACTCATCTTTTGTACCAAATTTATGAAATTTAAGTCAATAGGTACAGCGCAGTCAAAACTGTCACAATATGCCAATGGCCAATGGCAATTTCTCAATAGTTGATGTACATAATGAAGAATTATCAATAAATGAATTGTGTGGAATAATTCATTATAAATGGTCATCAGCCCATGGTCAAAATTGATCCAGGAAGGAAGGAGAGCTAGGGAGGGAGGGAGGCTGCAGAATCTGCTTCCCTCCAGCTAGGAGAGCACCAGAACCAGGCCCTTTTAAGGTTAATACACCATACCAAGTAAAACTCACCAAACTGCATCCTGATGGAGTAATGGGTTCAAGAGTAGGACCAAGATTTTCCTTCGGTCTCTTGCATGCTCCATATTGCTTAACTGAACAAAGGTTGTCATTCCAATAACCCTGTATTTGAGAACACAGACATTGAATCTGAATCTAAACCTGTATCTGTACCTGATGACATAAGGCTCAGCACTCTTGGTCAAGTAAGACAAGTCAGACTTAGTGTAGACATGAAATCAGAAATACTATTGAAAATGTTGTTGTACATGAGCCTAGCAAACATTGTGATCTTAAATTTTAACTACAGTTGGATGTACAGAGTCCCAGACTGTAGGAATGATGATTTGAAGGAATCTTTGTCAATATATTATTCAATACACATGGATTCTACTCAAAATGTTTTCCTTGATTAGTGATTCATAGTTTATAGCAGACATGTAAGGTAAGACTTAATATTTTTTGAAAATTGTTTTTGCAAAAATATATTGAAATACTATATATGTTTAAAAAAACATTTGAGAAAGTTAATGAATTACAAGAGAAATTTTGCTCTTATTGATGTTTTAGAGAGGGTTATCCTATTTGCTAAAAAATGGCATAATAATGTACATTTATAGATTCTGTCACTTCAACTTTGTTTTTCATCAGTTATCTAACTGTGTATTTGATTTAGACAGACGTTTTTTCCAATAACTTTTTACTTTCAATTCCCTGGGGTTACCTTTAAATTAATAATATGTATAACACTGTCAGACCTATTACTACAAGGATTGAATGCTATGAGCTGCCTCCATTACAAAATGAATTAAAATTAAATTCAACAATCCTCATCAGAATAATGCACTGCACTGCTACTTTAACTTTACAATTAACTAAAACCAAAGTCGAAATTGATCATCAAGTTATACAAATTGCAACTATTTCATATTCCTGGGCAATAACAAGAGAAAATGAATATGACATACATGTATGAAACTTTAAGGGCAAATGTGTTGTTGGCAGAGGAAGAAGAAATAAAGCAGTAAATAAGGAACCCCCAAGAGAAAATGTAGCAGACACAGAATAATACATACTGACGTATGCTTCAACTCACAAACATATACATTTCAACGCAGTCTTCAGCAGTTCCTGCATAATTGTTTGGTTCATCCGTGTTCCATAGCGTGAAGTCCACAGGAGTTTCATCCTCCCATTGAAAACTCATAGGGGAATTGCCGTCATTTAGTCCGATCCAGAATTCACTGTCCATCCCGTCTGGTCAGAAGATAATGGAATGGCAAAAAAGTAGTTGAAAATACCTGACATTAGCCCACAAAAATCAGATCAAAACTAGAGAACACATTTACATATATATATATATATATGTATATATATATATATATATATATTTGTACAGGGCTCCTCCTAATGCTTCCTTAGGGTTACGCCTTCCAGTGCATTTTCTTAATGTATTCATTAGGTAATTATTATGTTTATAATGGAAAAATGAAATTGAATTGGATTTAATTGAATGCATTTCGCCAATATGGCATTTCTTATATCCCACAGGCAGATTCCTGATAACCATGATGCCATCGAAAAAACATTTCAAGTCACTTGAAAATTGTTGGCTCCAACATATGGTCTATGTGCTTAGTTTGGATGAACCTTGAACTGTGAACTTTTAACCTCTTAATAAACCAATTAGTTTACACCTCCATGACAGGTACCAACTTAGAATTACTAACAGAACTTTAAAACTAAATTTAATACCCTCAACAGTTAAAGAATTTGTACATCAATCAACCCCTGTGACACTGACTTTGACCTTACAAATAAAGATTAGAAACTCTCAATCTGATTTATCCCGCCCAGCTACACATATTGATCTCATCATCTCAATTATTAGTCAGGAAACACTTACTGTCACGTGCCAGAGCTAGGATGAAACTGTTCTCGTTGAGGTCATGAATTGATGCCAGGTCGCCACCGAGGTCCTTACACTTCTGCTGAACATCAGAGAAGCTCAGTTTCGTTAGAGTGTACATGTAGTAACAGTTATTCCCATATCCTGACCAGCCCTCTGGGCATCGGTAACCAGGGCCGAGGGTCGTGACCTCTGGATCCCTCACGTCCATCACTGGGTATTTTTGGTGGGGAGGGGGGAGTGTAATAAAACATTTATAATACAATTTTAAATGGGGGGAAAGGAACCTTTCACATCTTCAATGCAGGTGTATTCCTTGTGTATGGTACATATCTGGCAGAGGTGGGCTTGCTACATTGAAAAATAACTTTCAGTAACCTTTAAGAAATATGGATTATAAGAGATCATGGATCATCTGCTGCATGATACATGATCTGAGAGGGACCTGGCAGAGGCCTGCGACATGGCTCTCACATTGGTGAGGACCTAAAATGAGGATCCTAAATGATGATTGCAAGGAATACATGTAGAGAACATATCCTTCATAACATTGGATGAACCTGACCACATTTACGCATCAGAAATAGAGAAAGAGAGGAGGACGGAGCACACTAACTCAGGGTCTTTTAAACAACCATCACCTTTGATCCTCCTAGCAAAACACTTGCATACTGAAAGGTATATCAAAGGCTCCCTTTGCAACCCAAAATAATATTCTGCAAAGTTATTTCTCATACATTGGCAATTCAAAGCTATTATTATGGTCCCATATGTCACTGACCACATTTAATTTTTTAGTCCACCCGATAATTGAATTGATTTGCAAGCCCCAACTAATACCAAAGATCAAGTACTCCTGTTGGAAATCAATGTTCAGAATACCATGATGTATGGGACACAAAATGACCAAATATCTTGGACTTGCATACATGTACATGTACTTCCTATAACTGTATACGGCATAGAATCCCCGAGGTATGTAGATTAAAATTGCCAATTGTTCAAATTCCTTGCTTGAAATCCACTTAGAGCCTTTCCACGTCCTTTTTCATCATCTTTTCATCATCGTTTAGCATCTACTTTTTCCACGCTATGGGGTTTGACGTTTTATCTCCCTAAGGCGTAAAAAAAAAGATGTTGTATCGCCCTTTGTGACCGACCCAAAAATCTTGAAATTTTCTAGTGCTTATAATACATGCAAAAATATCAAAATTGTAAAAAATTACTATCCACCCAATTTTCAAAATTTCCCAAACTTTGTATTACCTTTAAAGCATTAAAAACTGAGAAATATCAGCCCAATGAGGGAGAAAAAAGAAAAAAAAGTATTTTAAAGAAAAAAAAAGTTTCCGACTAACCGACCCATGTTTTGGCACCTTAAGGGCAATACAACATCTTTTTCTGTTAGGCCTTATGTCCCTTCTCTTGGCCTTGTGGTCTTCGGCATCCACCTGGGTGAGGCCAGATGCTCTCATTTCTTTCTCCTAGTGTCTCCATCCAAGTCTTGGGAGATCTACCAGGGTTCTGGGCCTGCAACCTGGAAGTTCATTGCTCTTTGGAGCCAATGGCTGTCTTCCTTCCTAACCACATGACCATACCAGTCTACCCATCCTTATATTTCACTCACATCTTTCATAGTAGTCCATGTTGCCATCAGAAATGGGGGTCGTGGTTGATCCATCGTTGAATGAACATTCATGAGAGACTCGGTTGTAGTTGAAAGACTTGCAAATGAAATCGGTCATCTTGACGCACCGTGAAGCACACTCATCAGGGTAGACGCCAGAAAGGACCAATTGACCTGGACCGTTCATGTACGCATGTGGCGTGACAAGGAAGTGGGTTGTAAGATATCCTGTGGAGTTCAAACGTGAAATAAAATTAATAGTATTCATACCAGTAGTAATAAATAACAAGAACAATAACAATAACAACATTGACAACAATGATAATGATGATAATAGTAATAATATTAATAATAATATTAATAATAATGATAATAATAATAACAATAAAAATAATAATGATAATAATAACAAGAAGTAGAAGAAGAAAAATAGTAATAATAACATCAAAGTTTTGAAGGCATTCTAAAACATTCTCATAATGTACACAATGAATCAAAGTCATCAATTTGTAATTAAGTCACAGATCTTTCCTAATATTTACAGCGAATCGATATCTCACCATTTTTCTTGCAGATGAATCCCCTTTCTATGTCACATTTGTTATCATTCCATGTGTCTGTTTTAGTGAAGATTTCCATGCAATGTTCACTGTCACCTACATTATTGGGTTCATCTGAACAAAAAATATCAAAGAGTTGTATGTTAAGTGCAACTCTTTATAACACAGGACCCAGGTCTGTCAAGTAAACTCTTCCTGATGTGTGTTTTCATGCAAAATTTTACAGATGTTTTGAATTTATTGATTTGAATATGACAAACTATAGGATGCAAGGATGATACTTGAAGTTAGAAGTCATACATTAATTAAAGTTAACTTCTGCATGGTAACATTTGACAATCCTTAAGCCAGTGCTATTAACAGGGGTAAAGTGAGCACTAAAGCCCTCCTTGAGTAAAAAAAGAAAAAAGAGGACTGGGGGAAAAAATGGCATCTAACAACATTCACCCCCATTTCAGTAAGAAAATTGGGGGGAAATAGGGAAAAAATATTGAAAAATAGGAAAGAATAGAGAAAATGAGGGGAAAATCAGAATAAAAACGGGGGGGGGGGGGGGGGGGGGGGGATCGGGAAACCGATTTAAATTGGGTAATTATCAGGCCTCTATTAACAGCAGGTACCTGTAGCTGTTTCTTCAACCTTGTACACAAATTGCACGAAGCTATGTAAAATACATGGGAATCTCCTTAATGTGTCACAATATGTTTTGATGTTTTGTTGGTTTGTTCAGTTATGGTTACTTGCACGTTCAAAGGGTATTCTGCAGTTGTTGGAATATGTCATCCGGGATAGAACCTGACTTACTGGGAGCCCAATTGAGATAAGAAAAACCTGATCCATCAGTCCACTCCCAGCCTCCCTCATTGGTGAAATCTGTTCCTCCAATCCACATGTCATTCTCAATACTAGAGAGCCGGCCTAGGCAAAAGAAAAGAAAGTAATCAATAAAGTCATTACAATGCTCATAAAATTCATACATACCTTTATTTTTTTTTAATGTATTTCTAAAAATATTTGTATAACCTACGTATCATTTCTTTGAATTACCTCTTTGAACTGGATGCATTATTTTGAAGGCATCTTGAGCATCTTTAGAGATCGACATGTTCACTTCATAAATATTGTCTTCTTCATCATCATTATCATCATCATCACTTTTATTATCATTATCATTATTATTATTACTACTATTGTTATAATTATTATCATTATCATTGTTATTGTATTCAATTTTTATTATTTTTCATTTTTAAAATAATCATTATTATTATAAATATTATCATTCTTGATATTATCATTATTATTATTATTATTGCAATTACTATCATCATTTTTATTACTATTATCATTATCATTATTATAGTCATCATTTTCCCATTTAATATGTTTATGTAAGAATTATTACTTATAGTGCTCTTATATGATCATATGCTGTGTTCTTATAAGTGTCATATGATGTACTCACCATTCATGTACGTTTGTTCCTCTTTACTTGCTATACTTGCTAAATCTCCACCTTGCACTTGGCAGTATTCTCTGGCATCAGCCCAACTCATGTAATCACTATACCTGAACAAATAGCAATTCTGCCCGGTCACATCATAGTCCCATCCATTGCCACATCGAGGGTCAAAAACAGCTGTGATAGGTGCGTAGGAGTTAGAAGAGGAAACGTACATTTCAATTAATTCTTTAATTACTTTGGTTGACTACTAGAACAAACCATGGAGTACCATAGTAGTCTTTTTTCACACAGCATAAATGTAGCATATGCTCAAACAACGTGGCATTTAGGGTTTGGGATCTATAGCAAATAAAGAGTTAATATGTACATCAAGAGGTGCAATTCTAAGCTCCAAGTTCAAGATCGTTTAGTATAATGCAAGAAAGAGACATACAAATACACAAGGAAAATGACAATATCAAAGGCATATAATATATATATATATATATATTCACAAATGAAAAAAGAAATAAACATGATATACACAAGTGTTGATTGTAAATTAATATTGAAGATGTAATGGTTATCTATGTAATAAAAACATATGCTTAAACTTTGAGGATGTCAGTGTTTGTGAATTTACATGAAAAAGGGTAATTTTGAAATAGAAAAAAAATGAGATAAGGCATTTTAGAAGAACATTCAAGTAATAATCATATTATTTGACCAAACTTACATAAAGGAAAACTATTGCATGTATTGTCTGTAACTAACATTATCATTATCTAACAGCAAAAATAAGTTATAACTTACGTGTTGGTATAACAGGAGGAATCACAATAGTACCAGCCTCTAGAATGAGACAGAAAAGAGAGCTCTTGAATGTGTAATTTCACAGTGAAGAAACCTGTCTTTGCTTTTAGTTGATCTTAATTAGCTCCCTTTTCTGGCTTTCCCTCCTTTTGAAAGGATTCACAGGTTGGTTCACAAATAAATGAAGCATTTTACATTCCCCAGTATTCCTTCCTATCTGGTTAGACAGTATGCTAATCATGAAACACACCATAGCATTGTCCATGGAGCTGCACCCATGTTACTAGTCCAAAAAAAGGAAAACTAAAATGTTGATGGATCATTTATTTTTAGAGGTACTGCAGTGCTGAGGAAAGTCAAAGGGGGTAATCAAATAGCAGATAATTTCTGATTTGTTTATGCACCTTTGAGGGTAAAATTCAAACTTTCCAAAATTTCCACCACAGATTGACAACCTATGTTCGTTCCCAATAAATGTCTTGTATTACAACTAATTCACTAAATTATCAATTTGTCACAGAAGAAATTGTTTCAAAATTTTTCATTTCTAGAGCAGGTTCTATTCACCTCGATGGATATTAAAATAGTAGATATATTGGGATTCCCGATGGGGAACATTTCATATAAAGGGGGAAATAGGTTTGCTTGGCAAGACAGTAACTCCTCATGTAATCATTATTTTAAGGATAGCAAAGTCTATGCAATGAAATGGCCTTCTTTATATATACAAATATTACATCTATTGAAAAATAGAAATACATGGGATAAAGAGCAAAGTATATCTAGAAATTATTAATAAAGCTTTGGGGGCATCACACACACACATTATTACTGAAAAGAATCAGATTTTTCTTTAGAAAATATCCTAAATTTCCATGAACAAAAATAAAGATGTTTACACAGATCAACTTACTACTTGGCTTCTTGCAAACAGATGCAAGCTTTGAAACATCTCCATCAATATCATTCCACTTGCCGGCATCAAGCTCATTGCTTCTCATGTGAACAGCATCTTCCTTTGACTTCCAGTTGTCAGGTTGACCAGTTGCCCAGTTATAGAAGTCAACCTGTAATAGGAAATTTCTATTCGTTTAGTTCTTTCAAAGACAAAGTCAAGAAAAAGAGGGTTGAGTGTCTGCAAGACGGGTGTAAATAGATGCAAAGATAATGGATGTACAGCACACTTCAAGAAAACGCATTCTATAATCTGACTATTCTTTGACTACATCTCTACATTGTCCACAATATTAATGGCAATATCTACATTCCTTCAGCAATCAAAAGAAAACATTTTAAACAATTTTATCAAAAAATAATCTTTGTGCTGTTCTACCTGGCACCAGACAATAGAAACAACTGAAAAGGGGAAAGAGTAGTACGTTCGTTCATGTCTCCTTAGATCAAGATTAATGTATCTTGATCTTCTGAGTAGTTGATACAACCGGCCGTGTCAGACACGTTGCCCAGGCTTGCGAGATAGGACTCTTGTAGCGTGCCCCCATTTAACACAATTATATAATAACAATTAGCATTATATTTAATCAAAAGAATGAAACTATTAAATTACTCTCATGTTACAGGAAAAAATATATATATATATTACGGATCAATTGATTTGGTCGATCCAGTTCGATGGCACAAACACGGCACTACTGGACAGAGATCCTAATAATTACAGAGCTTGGTCTTGTTGCTCTGTTCGGCAGCAGTTTGAGGATATGGAATCCTGCGAAAGAGTAGTACCGGTAATATGGCTCCTAGGAGCAACACCCCTAGTAGAATTTGAGGGGAGCTATACTAAACAAAAATTGTAAGATTTATTTTAAAATATTGATCTCCTTCCTTGGTCGTTCATTATAGTATGATTCATATACATGTCTGATGCACTGGCCTTTTAATTCAAAATAATTTGTGGAAATATCTCATGACTGAGGCAAAAAAAACAGTTCTTCTACACTTCTTTCATTTGCTTCTTGAAAAATAATCTCAACAACATAAAACTTCACCAGAAAAGTTATGTTCATACTTTTAACTACATAGGTAAAATATACTAACAGAATCTTGATTTGTTTTTGTTCAAATGAATTGAATTTTCAACTGTAGTTATTCTATTTTTTTAAATTATTATTATTTTTTTTAATAACTATTTATTTATTTATATATTTATTTATTTATTTATTTTTATTTTATTTTATTTTTTTATTTTATTTATTATATATTATTATTTTTTATTTATTTATTTTTATTTTTTATTTTTATTTTTTTTTATTTTTTTTTGGGGGGGGGGACTGAATTGTCCAATAATGATAAAGCAATGTGTTTCATGTTATGGGTGAATGAACTACTCGATCACAGTCACCTCTGATCCATCTGCCCATGCAAACACATTCTCAGTGTTGTAGTCATGAAAACCAATCCACAGATATGCTCCTCCCATTCTAGCTCGCACTGCAAGAGAACACAAACATATTACCTCCAACTATGCCTCTAAATACGATGATAATAAATAGAAATGTACTGTCACAAGTAAATCTTTAGGTTTTACATTTATTCTTATACATGTATTACCAAACTTGTTGTAATATCTTTCACAGGAATACACTGCATGTACTTCTAACGTATAAAAGCACATTACAACAACATTAAGGTGTGTTGGCACTAGCTTACAGAAACAAATCATTGAAATTACAATCTCTTTATTAATTCATATTTTGTTTACAATCTTTGTTTATAGCTCTAATCTTGTAAATAATAAATTAAATGTGAGTTACACTCCACCGACACTAATACAAGTATCATAAGGGGTGAGAAGGAACAAAACTGAAAAGATATCTGCCATATTTTTTCCCCTAGTAATCCAGACCTTGCTCATTGTTCAAAGAGGATGAATGAATAAAGAAATGCATGCAAGTGGTCTGCATCATGCCTGCATGGGAAAAGAATTACGCCACAAAACCGCCTACTAAACTTTGTTCCTATTCACTTACGTCGTCTTAATTACCCTTTAAAGTAAAGTCATGTCTCTTAGTTTTACCATCAAAGCAAATGCAATATTTGTTCCCTTTATGGTCTATATGCATGCCATTTGAGTTAGAAAAGCCTAAGTCTAGGAAATGGGATGAAAGGACCATTTATGTGTGACTCTTTAATAATCAACAAAAGTTGCCTATTTGCATAGTAATTTAATACTATGTAAAACCAGTGGTACCCATAGGCACACAGACACATTTCAATGATGGGGCAAAATTCTCAAATTTACTGCGCTCTCACTTCACTAGCACACAAAATTGTTGCTACTTTTTTAAAAATGAAATCACAAAATTTATTTGGGCACCTCCAACCTCAATATAAACATGGGCATCTCGCTGCCCAATATTGATGTGGTTGTCGCCTGAATATCAGAACTTTTAATTTCAGAAAGGGGGGGGGGAATCTGCAGCCTAGCAGAATGTGTCTTATAATGTAATTTGTTGTAATTTCACTACAAAAACAGTGTAAAAGATTTGTGTGCCAGCCCCTCCCCCTCCCCTATCCCTCCATGCGCCTTGGTCATACCTAAAATTTACGGTTTAAAATTAAACAACGGTCAGCAAAATAGCATGATCTGTACATGAACAGATAATACAGCAAATAAATAAAGAGCAAGAACAAGTGAATGATGAAATATTTGTTAAAAAAATTTAGGACACTTGTAAAAACACATATAAAAGCATATCAAAAAATAAAAATGAGAAATTAATGTTGATTATGAAACAAAATCTCACTTGAAAGAAAGTTTTGCTCTGTTTGGGAGTGAATGCTGGTCAAGAAACCACCTAAGGTTTGGCAGTTTGTATCAGCATCCTTGTAATAGCGTGCCGTCCGATCAAAGTAAAAACAAGAATCCCCATTCAGTGTCCAGCCATCATCACAGGTATGCACACCTGCAAGGATATGATAACAAATGTGATATTCGGCTTGAGGTACGACCATGTCCATAGGCATAGCCAGGAGTCCCCAAAGGGCCTTGGCACCCCTGTTCATCCACTAAAACTAGTTCATGAATTTAAGGAGACAAGATTTTAACCATACCCCCTACCCCAGGTGTTTGTGGGTGTGTGTGTAAATATGTGACTCTGCGAGTTTGCATGTTACCCTCTCGTCTGTGCTCCTCTCCCTCTTTAACGACTCTGTCACTCAAGCGACTGTGTCCCCATGTCCTCCAAAGAAGAAACATCTTAAAGCATTTACATTCTTAGGTTAGTCTATATTGGTCACTGTACAAATGTTGTGCTCTATCAACAAGAGAATGAATTTTTTTCTTCAAAGTTCCAAAAAGTATTGTTAATCACATAATGTCCATTAATAATTGACTTATGGTATAAAAAGCAGGCATCTACTGCTGCACTCTTTATCAGTACTGTTCACCCTCCTCTGTATTCAGGTAGTACTATTACTCAACTAACAATGCTTTGTTTATACTTCCCATTAAATTCCTAATATCATTAAACATATTCTCATATCAGCACAAAATATAAGATTCTCTGTGGAAACTATGGGTACAGAGGATATAACATTATTACCTCTACATCCTTATCCAAGTCAAGCAGCCATAATGAAAAAAATGGTCCCAAGCACTTCCATATTTATTGTAAAATGAAACCCAATACTAAACATGGGTATGGAGGTTACTGTTTTTGCAAATGGAAATTTTAGTGGTTGTTTCTCTTTTCAACTGTTTCATTAAAATAAGATAATAGATTAAAGATTAATACAAGTATTATTTGAACTATAAAATTAAGCAAAATGAAAGTAAGAAAATGTATGCAGTTATTAACTTTCCAAACAGAGAAATAGATCAATGGACTATAAGTGGTAAATACAGGTTTGTCACAGAAGTATGAACATTAATTGTGAGAACTTACCAACTGCTGGATCTAAAATTGAAATTGGTATATCTGTAAATTAAAAAAAATATATTAAAAAAAGATTGACCAAAGTTTAAAACTGGACATATGTCTTGCAATCTATCACATTGTAGGGGTCTGAATTACATTTCATTCATATTGAATGTTAAGGAGAAATTGATAATGCATTTACTTTATATACTTCAAATATAGAATCACTGAAAAAAAATTTGGTCTATATGTTAGAGGTTCCATGTTAACTAAAGTCAAAATGTTAGCTCCATATATTACTTCTATACATACGGAAAGTCTAAATTGTATTAAAATACATTTTTAACGGTATCAGAGATCTGAGCAGGGCAAATTTTTCAATGGTTATTGCCCTCAAAGTTTAATTGATAAACCAACACAACTATGGTGAACAAACTAATGACCGCTCAGCAAATTCAATGGGATTTTGTGTGTAATTTGCCGGTCAATAATAATACACAGTTAACCAATGAACAAATATTATTGCCCATTAGAAAAGTCAATGAGTCTAGTCAACACATCCATACGCTCTTGCATAGACAAGGGCCCTCAAGAATCCAAAGCCTGACTTGGGTTCTGTATTATTCCATCTATTATTATCTAACTGTTAACCAATAGAATACCAAGTGAGGTTTCTTGAGGTTAAATTTTCACATTCTAGTGATTAGTACCCTTCATTACCCTTTCAGATGCAAAGGTGGCTCTTTGCACTCAAAATGTTATATTGTTTCTTACAAGCTTTAATGGAGAACATAGTGTCTTTTTCTTGAAATTCAAAATGAGGTTTGATACCATGGACCACTCAGGAACACGCAGAAGCAATGAACAAAATCAATAATGATAACAAACTTGACTCATAAAACCTTTGTTGTGGAACATGTTTGTAAAACTAGAGGTATTGTAAAGTTAAAATGTAAAAGTACTGCACTGTGCATAGCTGTTTTTTAACAAACAGTGTAAAGGTTATGGTTATAGTTATGGCAACATTTTTATTAGATGAATAGATTGTTTATATCCACAAAATTTAAGTTTTTAGGCAGACAAGACCCAAATTATAATCTGCACAAAGATCATAATGAAGTGATGTAGTTAAGACTAATCACAATGTTCTGACCCCAATAGTCCTTTTACTCTGTAGATGTGATTGTTACAACAAGTTATCGTCCTGGTGCCAGATCAATGGAACTGTCAGAAATTCTTGGACATCCAATACAAATATGTAATAGAATAAACAAGGGTTCAATGGGATGTTCATATAAAGCTCACACTGACAGTTACGAGAAACTGGCTTCTGGACTGCATGTAGAGCTTGAGACCAGAGATCTTGATTACATCACTTCCACGATGTGATACATGTAAGAAACCTCGATACATGTGAGAAACATTAAAGCATTAGAGCTGAACTTACCAGCCTTGATCTTGCAAATGTAGGCATTTGTTGATTCACAGTCTGTACTACTCCATTTACCTGTCCCATCACCTTTGACAGAAAGTGAAAATATGTGGTCTTTTAAGAACATGAATCAAATAATCCTCATTTTATCATCTTTTTCAATTTATTGCTTTGAACTAAAACAAAGAAGTAAAGAGTACATCCTGTATAAAGCAGTAAATATGGTTTAACATGCTAAGATATCAATACATGTAAATAACTCTTGAAAATATGTATAGCACTAAACAAGAAATTTGTCTTGTTTTATTTTCTTTGATATGGGTTATGATTGGTCCCTTCATGTGTGATGTCCAGGGGGTGTTTCACAAAGATCCAAAGTTGGACTTAACAATTATGGAAAGCCGTTAGCATCTATACAAATATTTTGAAAAAGTTATTTTAAAAGGGATAAAATGTTGATTCATATCATTCATATGTTCTTGATGTGGAATTTATAAAAAGTCTAAAATACTTGGAATTTTGCTTTTTAATATATTTTATTTTAAGCCTACAAATGGCTCTCCATAATTTGTAAGTCCAACCGAGAGTTAAGTTCGACTTAGGATCTTTGTGAAACAACCCCCATATGTGGTAAGATATTTCTGTGTGCTTACACAACATGAGCTCTCATACCACAAGTACAGCAAAATGGATTACATTTCGCTAAATATCTAATACAGACTCCAATGATGGTTAATCAGATTCAGAATCATGGAAAATATGTGTATGTTGCCAAAAAACACGTTAATATCTTCATTAGATCATATGTCAAATAAAACTAACTACGACTCAAGTAACGTCATTATTCAGTAACACAATCATACATACATACAATGATATTACATACCATTTCATTGATTTGACATGGAAATACACTAACATGTAGTGACCCCCGACCCCGACCCCCTGACCCTTAACCCTTGACCCCCCTCCCCCATGAGCCCGAGCCCCCTCACTCTCTCCCTTGCCAAACTATCACACTTTGGGGGTAAAAACATGTACAATTGTATTCATCTACTTGTGTCCCCCTAGAAAATGCATTAATCTTTTCTTTTTCATTTCATGTGTGTGCAATTTTTATCAAGTTTATGACAACCAAAAAATACCTGAACTTGAAACTATTTTTAAATCAATGCAGCAGGAATACATGACAGTAATGTGTTATAACCTACCTGTGGTGATATAGATACAATCTTCACTTCCAGCTCTATTGGTTGGTTGCTTGGTATCCCAGTTGGAGTAGCTAAGAGAGCTACCCTCTACCCACACAAATGAGCCATCAGTTTCAGTATCTGTAAATAATACAGCATAGTAACGATTACGTTGAATACTTGTCATGGCATGAATAAATCCCTACCAGGTGGAGAGCTAGTGGCAAATGTAGATTAATTGTCTTGCCAAAGGACATTGGTACCGCGGCAGGACTTGAACCACAAACCATGTCGTCCACATGCAGTCCAATAACATATCCCCTAGATCACGATACCTCAACAGACCATGACACACAATAAAATTGTAAAAAAGAACACTATCTTGTAGCAATTACAAAGGAAGACTTGATGTATATTGTTAGGGTATGGAATGATCAACATGAAAAGCATCAACTCAATCTAACTGAAAATCACATGCCCTTCACATAGAAATGGGCTACACACACACATGCAACTTGGAGTTTGGTCCAAACTTTCAGCTATTTCCCATCATGTTTTGAATATTAATGTGTTTTTTTAAGGTTAATATTTTTTAGGGAACATTTTTATCATGACATGTTTCCAAACTAACATACAAAGAATGAGAAAGAGAAAGTTTCTCCATTGTTTCTTTCTTTATTAAGCATTCAGATTTAGGGGATGGATATTAGTCTTATGTCTATTTATCAATGCTTGGCATTTCTTTCCTCCTAAAAGTACTTTGATCATTAATATGCCTTCTCACCTGAGAGACCCAGCCATGAACTCTCCACAGCAATATCATGATAATCTACCATCTTGTCCACAATATAGGCATTCTCTGCTGAGCTGAGGCTTGTGAGAAGATAAGCACCCTGTGCCTCACAGGTAAACTTGGCCGTCTTCCATATAGTAGGAAGTTGGATGTTGAATTGGTAGCAGCTGCCGCTGTAGAGATGCCACCCAGCGGGACAGGAACCTGTAGTTTGATGGTAGTGTAGGGTTATTTATTATTAAAGGAGAATTAACCTTTAGATTATGAAGCATTATCATGACATAGAGAGTAAAAAAAAAAGTTTCATTTGATATAAAAAAGCATTGCTGTAGGCAAAATAATATCGTCTTGCAGGTACAATAAAGAGACCCTACTTTGCCATATTTATGATGTCGTCTGCTCCCCAAGGAAGCTGCCATTTTGTCAAAATTTCCCTTCAAAACTTCCGGGTTGTGACATATCTTAAGGAGAACTGATGTAGCATGCGGTGCGCTTAATAGATGCAATACACGTCAAAGGTGGTGTACTGTCAAGTGTTTGGTTGTAATAATTGTTCCTCAAAAACCAGCTGCTTTCCTTCGAACGATGAGGAGGACGTTCATCCGTGAACTCAAGAACTGAAGTGTGACCGGCCGGGTGAGTACCAAGCTTTTATATACGGTGTGTGAAGTCGTCAAGGCGGAACTAACGTTTAGCGACCGGTACGAGTGCGTTCTGGGTGCTAAGTAGCCGGTTCCTATACTAGGTGAGGACATGGCGAGGACCCGGCAAGAGGGAACAAGGTGACACTAGCTGGTACGAGGACGTTGTAAGTGGTAAGGACCCGGTACGGAGACGGAATGGAAACATTAAGGACATGGTGGAAAATTTAACGAAAATAAAATCTTTGCGGCCATAGAGATTTTCACCGCTTGTCATTTAAATTGAACGGTATGGGCCAGTTAGTATATAGCCGGTGCTATGTGATAGCACCATTACCTACTCGGTGCAAGCCAAAAATTTCTTTACAACAATTGAAACTTCTCCCAGGAAGCATGACATTCAATAATAATAGTAACAGTAATTTAACATCATTAATAATTTAATATTATTATTATTTTTCAAAATAACATATGTTTACATCCCACCTTCAGGTCTTTCACACATGAATTTTTTTGCATTTGTGCATGCAGCTGTACTCCATTTTCCATCTGTAGCTGATTGCGTTATCTCCACACAGTCACCTCCGGCTGTGTAATAGCTATAGACAATGACAAGGGCAAAATAAAAACCATTTTACATATAAGTGAAGAGAGTGGGGGTAGGAGAGTAGGCCCTACTTTTCCTCACTCCACTTCATCTGTGTGTTCTTAGATGTCGAAATTTTTAGCATATTACAGTTATGTCATCTTGTTTTGCCGTAGTAGTTTTTGAAGGGGTTTCTCTCATTATTTGTGAACAGGGCCCCGTTTTATAAACACTTGGGATTAATCGCAACAATGTACATTAGAGATACGAAACTGTAACCTAGCAATTGGTTAGAGGACTTGCGATTGATTCAGATCAATTGTAACCCTGTATTAGATATTAGATGGGGCCTTGGACTTTATTTCCTTTTTTTTTTTCCTATGATATATTTTTGTATCCCACCGCTGCCACCATGTTTCAATAGCCATAGCTTCTCACGTCTCACAAGCGTTACTCACAGATGAAACAGTAACCACCTTCAAAACTGTGGCATAATCAAATTAGACAAGCATAATGCAATTAACACATAAAGCTACTTTTGTCGTCCTTACCTGCGATTCACTTACACAGAAAATTATTTAAATTTGTTGCAGCAATTTTTTAGCTAGTTTCTTTATGTTTTATGTGAGTGAATAAAGGTTTGAAAGTGAATTACACATGAAATGATGCCAGTTGATCTACACCATGTTTGACTAACTCTCAAGTCTAGAATCATGTCAAAATGTATCAATCTATGCACCCAATGCTGCCCATGTATAAGGCCCACTTTTTTGCTGCCAAAAAAATTGAAAGTCGGGGGTGCGTCTTATACACAGGTACAATTTTTTTTTTTATAGATTTATGACGCTATGCCTGGCAATGTCTTCCAACTCAGTAATTGGTGTGTTGAGTCACCACTCGGAAACTAGAACAACACTCAAATTTGTCTGTCATCTTGGTTTGAAAGTAATCTTTTTAATAGATCTCAATATGTAGTTTATAATAATAATTCCTCCAATTTTGCTTTGGCGTACCACAAGGTTTTATCCTAGGTAGTCAACTGTTTTTAATTTACATTAATGATCTTACACATTCTTCAAAAAACGACATTGTTACTTTTATTTGTGACAAGTTCACAAGCACAATTTTTTTTTTTTTTTTTTTTTTTTTTTTTGGGGGGGGGGGGGGGGTCTTCAAAATAGGGGTGCGCCTTATACACAGGTGCGCCTTATACACTAAGATTTACGGTATTCATCTTCATACAGCATTCCAAGTTTCTGCGCAAGTATTAAATTCAAGTTTAATCTGCATACTGGATTTACAACGGCCCCTGGTCTACCACTTTTATAGCCTCTTGTCGATGGCCCTCGCCCTGTTGGAGTCTGTAAATTCTGGCCAGCGAAGCAAATCAGAGAACCGAGGCGCTTGCGCTGAGGGCCTCTTAACAAGTGATCTGAATAATATATTCATGAGACCCGATTTCCTACTGAAATATGCATGTGTATATGAATAATGTAACCACCGCAGCGATTGCCCAACACAGCTCCAGGAGATAGGCGGCCAGTCTCACTCTCACGGAGGAAATCAGCACAGAGCGGTAGATATTACGTCATAGTAGCTCTCTCTGATTGGATGATTTTCACTGAACCACAGTTGGGTCGGAATATTCGCCAAACAATGAAAAACATAAGAAAGTCAGATCACTTGTTGAGAGGCCCTCAGCGAAAGCACCTCGGTTCTCTGGCTCGCTGGCCAGAATTTACGGACTCCAACAGCGCGAGGGTCATCGAAAAGAGGCTACCACTTTTACCACATAACCATACAATAAGAGCAGTTCTACCATCACACTTCTAATCCAAGCTAAGAAACTCACCGATCGTCCGGCTGGTCTGTGTCCCACTTGGTGTAAGTAAGAGACTCTCCCGTTGACCACTTGTAGTTCCCAGCAGCTCCACCAACCTATTTCAAATGAATGAATGAATGAGACAACATCAATAGAAAAGAATAACTTTGATTTTTAAAAGAGAAAAAGTGTTGGTACAAACATGGACCTATTACAAATGGACATTCATTGTTTTCTTAATGAATTCATTGTGAATGTCTTCGTCAATGTCGTCTCAATAACATTCCGTACATGTTTCTTCTCTTTGATCTCATCATGGTCACCGCCAATAAGCTGGGACAGAATCAAGATAGTGATTTAAAACATGTTAATCTACATGCGCAGAAGATAATAACTCGCTTAAATCATGGAAAATCGATGTGCAGTTCTGGCTTATAATCGGAAATTGTTGTTCCGTGTACTGTACATGTATTTCATTTTGAAAAACATGTTGATATTACCAGAGGTTATTTCTAGATTTTTTGGTTGTGATTTAAAATCCAATTTCCCCCTATTTTCTCATAATATTCCAGAGTTACAACGCACAGGGCTGATACAGATCATGGCCTTCTAATTGTTTTATAAGGTCATAGGTGTGTGCGAAAGTTTGCGAATCAGTAATAATACATTTCATATCACCAATATCGTCTGCTTGTCAACTTTGCTGCTCCCCATTGAGGATGCTTTTATTTAAGACACACTCTAACATAGCACACCATCCAAACAAACCCAAGAGAGTGAAACTGCTTCTTTGTCAATGACCGAAAACGCTTATGCAGTCGTTATTGTTAAAACAGCTGAATGTTCTCATTAAGATGCACATAATCAGAAGGCGGTGACTATCATTGGATCAAAGAAAGAATCACGTTGAATGTTCATCCGTAATAGGTCCATGGTCCAAAGAAAGTTAGTTGAAGTTGTGAGTCAGTCTAGTAAAGGGACTTATCACATATATATATATGGTATACATGATAAAATATGTCGGCCATCATGTGGTGTGTGCTAGCTCCTTCCAACATAATTTACAGCTAGTTTTGTATTTGTAAAATTTGCCTATACTATCAGTGCAAATAACTACCATCAGTGATAATGTCACATGTTCCTCATATCTTCTTAAACCAAAACAAACTAATCTCCCTCTGCCAAATTATTTGTATTATTTGAATGTTTTTAGTGCATGATTATTCTATACCAGTGTTAAAAAGAGTTGTCATAGAACTAATCAAGACCAAAATAGGGCAATTTTTCTAAGCTATTGTGTTGCAAAAAGTATTCCTTCTGATGGGTGCCCATTGTTTTGAGCCGATCCGCCTTTTTAGCAAACGTGCGACCGTACAGAGAATGTACCTGGTTATATCATAAAATATGAATGATAAAAGGTACACAATTAAATTGCAGTTTATTTTCCAGTTGGGCCCTTAAAGCTCCTTATGAAATGCTTGACACATACGATCATTCACTTTTTGACTTACCGTAATTAAAGGTGTATTAACTGCACTTTTTGCCACCGAAAAACATTAAAAGTCGGGGGTGCATCTTATACACGGTACACACAAAAAACAAAACAAAAAATTAAAGTTTCGATTTATGCCCCTCCACCTGGCGCTATGCCTGGCAATGTCTCCCAGCTCAGTAATCGGTGTGTTGACTCACGACTCGGAAACTAGAACACTTAAATTTTTCTGTCATCTTGGTTTGAGTGGAATCTTTCTGATAGATCTCAATATGTAGTTTATAATAATAATTCCTCCAATTTTTCTTCTATTACATGGCCTACCACAAGGTTCTATCCTAGGTCCTCTACTGTTTTTTAATTTACATTAATGATTTTACACATTCAGCTGCACCTCACAGTTAAATGAAAGGCCTTCCCGCGTGGTTTTTTTAACAAGGACCTGGCTTGCTGCCGACAGAGTCGGCAAAAAAAAATTTAGGGCGAAAAAGAGGGGTGCGGTTAATACACAAGGGCGGTTTATACACCGTTAATTACGGTAACCATACAGTTTTTCAAACTTGCTCCATGAATATAGAATGGGAGGTTAAAATTGTGTCAAACTCATGTTGAACTCCAAAACACATTCTGTTATTTTGAACTTCTTTTGTTATTCTTATGTCATTTTGATTTTGGTGTCGTGTAAAAAATATGTTTTTCTATTAAAATCCATAGTAAAAGCCTGTAAACACTGTATTCTTACCGTATCACTCAAGCCGAGCCATACGTTGGCCTTTGATACACTGACTCGATTAGCAACCATGGCCTGCTCTTCATCAGAACCAATCACGACGAGAGTTCCACCCACCCCGCGACAGTAGTTGTCAGCATTAATCCAGGTTCTTGTAAAGCCAAAGAACTTGAAGCATTTGCCAGCTACACCATACCAGCTAGAACCCTCGTCGCAAGCTAGAGGGAGTTCTGGGGGTGTAAAATAGTGACCAAAAGTCTCAATCTTATGATTTAAAGCACATTTTAAGCCAGTTAACAGAATTTGAAAAGGTATTCACTGTTGAATTTTGTAATTACACAATTTGTTAAATGCTAATGAATTAAAAGGTTCCATGTAAAGGGGGCAATATACAACTTTTAAACCCCAAAATAAAATGTTCATAAAATGTAGAGTACAATCAGTACATGCTGTAATAACAGTAAAAATATTGGCAGTCTAATAGTTTATGATCCTTTTACAAATCGACTTTGGAAAGTTGACTGATCCCTGACATCAATATCAGGTTGAAATATACCTCTAATCTTAATTAATATCAAGTCCCTTGTACCCAATAAATGATTTGTTACTTTCTACAGAGTACTTTCAAGCTATTCCTTACCTTGTAATAAAATATTCCTTTTGTTTTTAAGAAGTGAATTCAAACTTTGAGCTTGAATTTCTAATTTCATCTGGACTAAATGGAGCATTAAGGATTGTACATCTTTGCAATGTCATAAATGACTGTAAATGGACAAAATCTAATCTTTACAGTCTTTTATACGAATACTATATTTCGAGCAGAATAAAGTCAAAGAATATTCAAAATAATCTTGAGTTGAGAAAGCGATGATGGAAAATATTGTCTTTTAAGAGCCAGAAGGACCAGTTTCTGTGGTTACTCCTTTCCGAATCCACACAGATGTTATGTTCTAACAAAATCAAGGAAATATACAGTAAATATCCAAGACTACAAAATAATGCTCTCTGCCAAAGAATTGGATAGAAAATATGTAAGAGCCAAGTAATGCACAATAAAATATGAGCTAGTAGTGCCAATTTACAAAGACACATGAGGCCTCAAAAAAGGGCTGCTTTTCAAGGAACGTGATTTCCCAGCAATTTCCCAATTAACATTCAAGATTCATAAATATTAATGAACTCCAGGGTTGTGTTTTATTACTGCTGTTAAGGGAAACATTGTAAGCATAAGATTGCTTACAAATTTGGATCAAATTGTCATTTATTTTCATTATTATATTTCTATTACAGGTTGAATCTGAGTTGTGTTGTGTAACATTTTTTAAACAAATATTTCATTTAATGGGACAAGTAGACCTAGGTTTTGTAAAACAGAGGGGACAATATTTATACTGAATATTTGCTGAGAAAAACTATTTTGGGGGTGTATTTTTTTATTTTGGGGGCCTTTTCACTCCAAAATTCTCAGACAAAATAAAAGAAGTCATTATCTTAAGTGAAGGGGCAAGGTGGTTTACTAAAGGTCTGCCACTTGGGTTTCAAATAGGAGTAAAGGATTGTGCTCCCCCTTCCCCTCCACATCTACATTTGCCACTGCTCTATCACTTCTATGGCAAACTTGGCATATATATATATATAACACGTATATAGGATGAAATCAGGGTTGCATATTTAATTTCAAGTTATAAGATGAAAACACCAAATAATAAGCAGAGTATATGTTGTAATCTGTATGATGTCCATATATCTGTATATTGAACTACCTCCATAGCCATGAAATAAGTAATTTCATTAAACGAAATAACATCACACAGCATATGTTACTGAACCAATATGTTTGAATATACACCAAAAAAAATAAGTGTTTGTAAAAATAAAAATGAACTATGGCTACTGTGCTAATAACTATTTTTGATGAAAGGAGTACTATATTTAGCTGAGAATATAAGTTCAATTATAAATTTAAACTACCAGTTTATACAAATTTGAATATACGAATAAGCAACAGTCGATATATTGATAAGACAAGGCATATCTATCGGAAATCCAAAATGAGAATCAAGGAATATATTCATCTTCCTCTTATTTTTAGATGAATGGTAATAACTTGTGAAATCGGCAAATATCAAATCATCATACCAGCTTATTTATAGGCAGATGATGCAGGTTAACAGAGAAAGGCAAATACATGAACATTCAATAACCCCGTAAAGTGATAGGCCTATCTCCAGCATTTCCATTGTACTTTTAATGTGCAATAATTGTATTTGTATATGGGCTTGTGCAATATCGTTCTACATGGTTACCTGTGAGGGCTCGCATGCCTCTGGACAGCAGTGAAGCATTTCACTTTTGCAAACCCTGGCCCATAGGTAAGCATTTCTTTCCTCTTCTACTTGCTTCTCATTTCCTTCTCTTTCTTTATTTCTTTTTAAAGATAATTGTATTTACATGTACTATGTTGACTTTGTATATATATATATATATACTGTGAATTTCTGATTTTATGGCAAAATAAATAATAAATAATAATATGTACTGGTACCACTAGTAGCAAATGCATAACATGAGTGATTTAGCAGTTTCAGCAAAGATGCCCACTATATGCTTTGAAAAACAATATATATATATATATATATATATATATATATATATATACATATATAAACTATGTTTCAAGTTGATAATTTCCTTTACCAGTAGAAGGGGTCAAGTCTTGACTGAAAGGAATATATATATGAATTTCTAGGAAAGTGCATCCAGCAAGAAATGCTACAACAGCTCAATCAGGCAGGAGTTAGATCTCGTGTACCACAGGTATGCATATTAGGACCATTGTTTTTCATATACACCAGAGGTAAAGTTTTGGTAGCAAAACAAATCTTGGAATAGAAACCTATTTATCATGGTCTCCTCTTGCTCTATTTGTATCAAAACTACATGTATGCCATATATTTTCAAACAAAAATAACTGAAACTGACAGCATTCTATCCGATCCAGATTTCAGATTTACTCAATCCCTGCTTATATAGCATAATTGCAGGGCCCTCTAGAGTCCCACTGTCTGCATGCACTGACAAGCAAATTGGCGAACACATGAAATTAAGGAGAAATGATCATATCCCAAAACTAAAGTAAGAGAAGATAAATAGTAGTCTTGTAAAAATTAGAAGATAAGAAAGGGGTGATTCGAATGATCTGCAATTTTATAATTTATGTAGTGGGTATACACATGCAAGAGTGATGAATACCGATGTGTGAATCATGGACATGGAAATCATGGAACAGATCTGAAGCATGGCAAGACAAAGGGACAGCTAAAATATGGGACCATATAAATCCATCTCAGAAAAACTTAAATATAGGAACTGAAATAGCATAGATCTGTGACAGAGAGCTAGTTGATTCAGAGAAGTGCTAATTGTGTCCACACTAGAAACAAGCTGAACTCTAATGCTTACTATTCAAAGAGTGTAGCTCGAGTTGTATGATCAAGCAGTCAGCATACACTTCATATGAGTGATCAATGAATGAATTTGATGTAACAACATGGAGGCTGATCACACCGCAATGAGCGCGGTCTATCGTAGCACCCCCTTTTTTCTAGCGCGCGCTAGACCGCGCTCTATCTCTCATGGACCACCCCCAAGAGGTGCTCCAGAGGCACGCCGTTTTGGCTCGCCATGGCTCGCTGTTGGGCGGACCGAAACGACGTTGTACCTCCCACACCGCAGAGATAGCGCGGCCTAGCGCGCGCTATCTCTGCCGGTGTGAACAGCCTCATGGACCACATGTATCCAGGGCAACATTCACAAATTTGTAGTTGTTGTAATGTAGGAGTTGTGGCTATGATACCAGCTGTGCTGTGGCAAGCCTATAGATACAGAATGCTTCAAATGTTCATGTTGACGATGTTGTTGTAACATGGAGATCTCTCTGATAAGGTGGTCCATTCAACTTGTTACAAGGCCGAGACTGCCAAGATGCTATATGTCTGGTCTACCTTACACTGTTGTATGGATCCATATGTTGGAAAATAAGCCAGGATATGCAGCAGCACTGGGAAGCTACTGAGATGTGGTGTCTCAGTTGAATGGTGAAGATACCATAGAATGAAGATGTTCGAAATGAAGATGTCTTATAAAGAGCCAATTCTAATTATGATTGATTGCGAAAAAATGAATACTCTTCAGATCCACTTCCTTGCATGCATGGCCATGTCCTGTGGAAGAATGCTTGGGAGATAGTTGCCCTTCTCTGGATACATTGGAGGACAGCTAGAGCACAAGAAAGACAATGAATGACTTACCTCTCTTGGCTCAGAGATACCCCTGGTATAAGGCATATTGATATCAGCCAGCAGAAAGAAAAAAACATTCAATGCCAGATATTGACAATTAAGCAACCTTACTGGGTGGATGTTGTATTGCATCTGATAGTATATGAGGGCATTAACTGGGAAGACAGCCAAGCCAACATCCCATCGGAAAAAAACAATATTTACAACACAAGTCAATAATGTAGAAGTCATTGCCTCTTCCCTGTCTTAGAGAACTGGCAAGGGGGAACAACACAGGTTCAATCGCAGTATTTCCATCCAATAAAACATGTTTATCTTATATATTTTGATTAACCTTCAATCCCTACTCATACCAAATTTGATTAAATCATTTTGTCACTCAACTTTTAAAAATTTGATTTGCTTTTATTTGTGCCAATGTATAAAATTGTAGTTTATGTAGCCTTGAGAGTAGGTTTGGCACTTTGTTTTCTTGATTTATTAGGTGTATTTGTGGTATTAACAGTGTGCCATTTACCAAAAGGCATTTTAAAATACAATGTCACTATCTCCATGCATTCTCTTCACCTGCTGTGCTATTATCTTCAAGAAGAATGACCCACTGCTTTACCAAAAATCAATGTGATAAGCTCATATCCATACTCAGTTTGGAGTGCTTATATAGCGCCTTATTTGAAGATAATTACCCAAATGTGTGCAAATGTGTGTCTAGCTCTTGCATCGTTGACATTTATTTGCTGATGATCAATAAGTTTTACCAAGAGAAATAATCATAGTCTAAAAATGAGCCTTTCCCCCTTGCATGAACTGGGATATAGGAAGAGACATACCATTAGTCCTTTCACAAAAGTAACAGAAACTTCTAGTGCATTTTATATCTCTCCATCGACCTCCTGATCGCAGAATTGCACAGTCCTGTCCTGTCCAACCGCCGTTATTAGGTTCTCCAGTGGCCCAATGTCTGCGATGACAGGCAAAAAGGCAAATGGGTCACGTTGCAGGGAAATGCCCTAATTGGTCTTAAAGCTGCATGAGTATATGTATACCATGTTAATCTTGCAGGCGTTGATGTGCGTGGGATGCCATTTGAATATGATTCATGCAAGGTATACAAGTTGATATGCAATGATGATGTTTTTAGTATGTTCGATGAGTAAATCATGGCCATAGCATGGAAACAAAATATCACAAATATTTAAGTTGAAGGGACAGCTAATAATGGGATAATATAGTCCCATCTCAGGAGCACTGATAAAGAAGGGATTTGAAATGAGAGCAAGATCGAAGCATGGATTAACATAACTATGATGCTGCATCTCCTTTTACATGTGGACTTCGCAATCTACCGACTGAGCTATCGCGCCTCACTGGATGACAACATACCATTACTCCTTTCACACAAGTAAGGATAAGTGAGAGTACATGGTACATCATTCCACCCAGCTGTTGACCATACGGTTGCACAGTCCTCGCCGGTACTGTGATCGTTAGGCTCGCCGGGGAACCAGTGACTGAGATGACAAGAAAAACACAAAAGGGTCATAATTGTAACTGCCCAGATCCCAATGCCCGAGCACATGAATGTCGATCCAATATAAAAAACCTCAGATTATTTACATGTATATATAAAAGGAAGTGGCAACTTCCAAATTCTTAATGTTTGAGTACATAAATATAAGTATAATATAAATTAAAATATAGCAACAATTTAATTGTGCATTAGCAGCACATATTTCCAATGGCTACATGTTTGGAATGACATTTTGGGATTATATGAGTGCCTGGGGCACCATTGGGCAAGTACTTCATGAGCATGCACACAAAGAATATTGCTTTATATTGCATGTCTAAATGTAATCCCATGATTCATGTAAGGTATACAAGTTGATATGCAATGATGATATTTTTAGTATGTTTGATGAGTAAATCATGGCCATGGAAACAAAATATCACAAATATTTAAGATAAAGGGACAGCTAATAATGGGATAATATAGTCCCATCTCAGGAGCACTGATAAAGAAGGGATTTGAAATGAGAGCAAGATTGAAGCATGGATTAGCATACACTTCGCAATTTCATCAAGCAAAGTACCAAGGACTGCATGCACACTGGCAACAAAAGAGGGATTTCATGTAATACTTGTAGATTTTTTTTGTAGGTTTTTTATCTGAAATTGTTAACAATTGATGAAAAATTGAGTTTAGATTTTGGCTGTGACTTGTTCTATTTATATGACATTGATTTAAGTAAGTATTGTCTGTTGGGAGCCAGGGGAGTACAAATAATCCAATAATTCCCCTAGCTCTCAACAGAGAGGTTACCGTAAATTATATTACATTGTTATGTTATTTATTTTATTTGTAGTTATTTGTCTATGATAATTATGTTAATGTAGTGTTATATTTTATACAAATGTGAGCCGTAAGATGATTTGTATGCCTTCATTTTATTTTGTGCATGACAATAAAGAAATTCAATTCAATTCAATTATATCAATTCCAGGGCGCCCACACACAAGAAAATTTGTATAAAGAATCGGCGTATAAATTCCAGGGCGTCCACACACACAAGAAAGTAATCCTGAAACTCGGTAGCGAAACGTCGTATAGGTGCCCAGTTGGCTACTGCAGTCATGAAACGGAAGCAGAAATGGGAGGTGCAGGTCCCCTTTCGCGAGCTGTCACGTTAATTAGCCATGCCCAGTTATACCCAATGTATAAATTCCAGGGCGTGCACACACACAAGAAAGTAATCCTGAAACTCGGTAGCGAAACGTCGTATAGGTGCTCAGTTGGCTACTGCAGTCATAAAACGGAAGCAGAAATGGGAGGTGCAGGTCCCCTTTCGCGAGCTGTCACGTTAATTAGCCATGCCCAGTTATACCCAATGTATAAATTCCAGGGCATGCACACACACAAGAAAGTAATCCTGATACTTGGTAGCAAAACATCGTATAGGTGCTCAGTTGGCTACTGCGGTCATGAAACGGAAGCGGAAATGGGAGGTCAGGTCCCCTTTCGCGAGCTGTCACGTTTATTAGCCACGCCCAGTTATACCGTTCTCGTTCGACCATACGTCCACACACAACAAATTCTGTGATTCTTTATCGAGTTCTAGTTCAAAACGATGCCCAGACTCGCGTTTCGTTATACAACGTTTTATTATATGACGTATCTTTAGTAAGCGTACACACACAAAATTTCATTGTATCCCGAAACGGTATAACTATACCGTTTTGGGATGGTCATACAATGTGGACGAAGTGTATTTGACCAAGCCTAATTCTGAATTTAGAGTGGCAAATGTAGATTAAGATCTTGCCGAAGCACATTGCATGGTCAAGCATTAGGGATTCAAGGCCCATATCATATCCTGCCTGTGGTTAACATTCCAAAGACTCATCCACTAGACCATAATACACCTGTATGATGATCCATGAATTCTTCTTGACAGACATGCATGTACTAGCTAGCTCACAGGCAATATTCTTGCTACCCCCGCCTCTCCCTCGACCCCACCCCTCCCCCTCCCCCTCATCTTCAAGCTGCAGTGAAGGTATTGACATACCATTACTCCTTTCACACAAGTAAGAAAGAGTGTTAGTGCATGATATATCATTCCATCCACCTGATGACCATACGGTTACACAGTCCTCGCCGGAGTAGTCGTTAGGCTCGCCGGGGTTCCAGTGACTGAGACAACAAGAAAAACACAAAAGGGTCATAATTGTAACTGCCCAGATCCCAATGCCCAAGCACATAAATGTTGATCCAATATAAAAAACAACTCAGATTATTTGTATATGTATATATAAAAGGAAGTGGGAACTTCCAAATTCTTAATGTTTGAGTACATAAATATAAGTATAATATAAATTAAAATATAGCAACAATTTAATTTTGCATTAGCAGCACATATTTCCAATAGCTACATGTTTGGAATGACATTTTGGGATTATATGAGTGCCTGGGTCACCATTGGGCAAGTACTTTATGAGCATGCACACAAAGAATATTGCTTTATATTGCATGTCTAAATGTAATCCAATGAAGGATGAAGGGAAGTTTAAAGACGGGATATGTAAATCACTCTATACTTCTCTTTGATGACAAGGGTACATATGGTCAATGAAAATAAAAGAGGAATAATTTAGCTCTGATGGAAACCTGCTGCTTTTGAAAAGAGCTCTGAAAACAATAAAATACACACAAATTACTGCAATTAAGAATAGCACATTGAAAATTTTTGCTACAGTAAAAACGGGGAAAAAAAATCATACTGGAAGGCATACATAATATGGACAAAGAATAAAATGGTTAATGTAAAAGCCAGATATATTTGAAATGTGTTAAGTTGCTTTTTATTGTTTTATGTGTGTATATATTCATGAAGATGAAACAGTTATATACAATATACTTACAATACCTGTACAAAAAACATTAGGAATCAGTATTATTGTTCAAATGATAATATCTAGATATGCTTGGGTGGGATTAGAGTGTGCAAGGTATAAATAAGATTAATATTGAGGATATAATGCATGCATGGAGGATAACACAGAATCTAACATACATATGCTACCACTCCAGAGCCATAATAGAGGACCCACTGGCTGACCACTAGATCTGGAAGTCTGTTGTACGGCATTTGCTCCTGCAACAACTGCTCCTCTGGTATTTCCTACACTAACCATTCTAACCATTCTAACCAAAAATCCTTTGACCCAACACTACACCTAACCCTAATGCTAGCCCTTAACATATATACTAAAAGTCTAAAACCAAGTTGCAACCCTATAACCCTTAAATCCTTTGCTATTACCAAAATAAGCCCGGAGCAGTTGTTGCAGGAGGAAATGACGGGTCACCCTGGAAAACATACCATTGCTTCTCTCACAGATGAAGGGTACACTTAGAGTACATTGAGTGTCACTCCAATACCCATCATCTTTGAGTTCAACACAATCATCTCCCCCTGAATCATCGCTGGGTTCGCCGGCACCCCAATGACTAAAGGTAGGTAGGTATAGGTAGGGTTGGGAGAAAAATGGGAATGCAATGTTTTTAAGTCTATGTGCGTCAACACATTTGCCTGTATTATACTAAAATGTCCTCTGTTTAGGGCAAGAAGTTCACTTCTGTCACTGAACAGAGGATGCAAACCCATGTACACTGAATTTCGGTACCCCCCCCCCAAAAAAAAAAAAAAAAAAATAGGTAAATAAAATATGTTACATATAGTCCGATATTATTTTGCTTGTTCAAAAAGAAATGTGTGCTAGATATTTGATGCTCCCTCCATGATTTCGAATAAAAAGTGCAACAATCTGAAAATAATGGCAGACAATGGCTATGTAGGGCCTTATATACACTAGGATGCTTCTATCCTGCCTGCTCCCCGAACAGCAATATCAGTGTTCTTTTTGTTCAATGGGATTTTAGACCAAAGGTTATCTTAAGAATTAGTAGAACAGGGACATAGAGGGATTACCAAAACTATATATGAGCTTTCACAAAAGAAGTTACAACACCAGCTTCCCCTTGATAAACATGACTGAGTTAAGCTTGCACAAGGTTTTAATGAATAAGTTGAATACAGATCATTGATTTAAACTTCAATTTTAAAATAATAACCAAAAGTAGAAGTTTCAATATTTATGTTTGCTAATATAATAATGAAACCCTTGAGAGTGGGCCTTTTCAACAAGCATGAAATCACTTCCTTTAGAATGTCAAAACTTAGTGAAGCACATTTGTCACTTCATATGATAAGATTTTTTAAATTTAATGTTAATTTTTGAGGAAAACAATTGTATTAGAAAATGTCTTTTTTAAAGGTTATACAAAGTTTTGGGAAAATTTGAAAATGGCCAGATAGCAAATCTTTAAAATGTTGATATATTTGGATTCCCCTGAGGATGTTTTATAAGCACTAGAAAAAATAGCCACTAAAACACTTCTGCTTTGAGAAAAATTGAATATTAAAATTTACCAGTGCTGCAAGTAAATTTTGATAAATTTCAAATAGCTTATGAGGCCATCCAATGGTAGCTGGAAATCTTAGAACATGCAGTTGCGATATATAAATCCAAATAGGAATAGCAAATTGGTCGATTTTAGTCAAGAAACATTGTTTTAAAGCCAAATTAATATTCTTGACTTTGAGAGTGAGCTATACACCATAAAGACTTTATTATTTACATTTTCATCACTTTAGACTCGATTTCAACCGCGACAACGATCACTGAATATTGTAGGATCGCATATGCTTCCAATATTTTCATTAGAACCAAATTCTTGACCCCATACCAAAACTTTGTATTACCTTTAATTCAAAAGAAACATTTTCAAGTACCTGTAAGAGAGCAAGTATTTAAAAAAAATAATAATTTAAAATGTTCCTGTATGTCTATAACAAATAGAAAGGCTTATTGACACAATGTACACTGTACAGATATCAATTGATATATTGAAACTTGGAAAAAAACGTGTTTCTAAGAGGTTTTACTTGTGGAAAGTATAATTTTAGTGTTGTTTTAATTTCCACACTTTATTTTCTGATTCGTCCAAATCACTTACAATCCAATCATTTAGCACTTGCTAAACTCAAATAATGTCAGATTAAACTATTTATTTCCGGATCCTAATAAAATGGTTCCTTGTGAAGGACTGTAAGGAAGGTACGTGCAATTTTCAAGCCGCAAGAGGCATTTCAAAAAGGGGAATTTGGTACTAAAAACTTATATTCTTACATGGAAAGTGTAAAAAATGCAATGGTGTGAATTGTGAATGCATTTTGATTTGGAAAAAAAATAGCATTTCCTTTTTCATGATTTAAGATCATTGCTCATGAGCTTGAAATGGATCTTCAAATTGGCATTTCCATCTGCGATTTTAAACTTTGTGCACCTTTATCTATTTACGTCATAGATTCTGTAAAATTTCATATCCATGACGCATTCAAAATTTGCGATGAATGGGTCTTTTCTAATTTAAGTCCTGGTGACCATCGAATGTAATATGCTCATCGAATGTAATAGGCTCATAGTATCAAACAACGCTATACCACTGGATGTCTTAAAGTAAAAATATTAATTCTGCAAATCAATTTTGATGGAAAATAGCAGCAGAGATATGAGCGATGAAAGATTCTTTAAAAATCCAGCTTGTTGTCTCACAACATAGTCTCATGTAAACGTAAATTGTGCTTTGAGAGAAGGTCATTTTCAGGCTGTTTCCAGCAAGTTTATTTGAATTATTACGCTTGTCTAAACAACCATCTACTACTGCTTGAAAACTAGTCTAGTACCACTTTCAGC